CACCTGAGTCAGGTGCCACAGACGTAGAAGCTGCTGTCGGGCCGGTTTCCGTGGCCGGCGGCTGGCCCTCAGACATCTGCGGCGTTGCACCACCAAATCTCCTCTGGTCCGTCTCCTGCTGGCGTTGACTTCGGGTACGGACACCCTCCATCTCGTCCTTAGGTAAAATCGGCATGATTTTATCCCACTTCTGACACCAATTGTTACGAGCTTGAGGTTCGTGACAATAAAAATTGCCGATAAAATTACCTAAATTAACACTTTAATTTACTTTACACAAATTAAAACTTAAAACACTATTAATTAAACACACTAATTCACTTTATTCCGCTCCGAAGCTTCTGTTACGAGCTTAGGGTTCGTGACAATAAAAATTGCCGATAAAATTACCTAAATTAACACTTTAATTTACTTTACACAAATTAAAACTTAAAACACTAATGATTAAACACACTAATTCACTTAATTCCGCTCCGAAGCTTCGCTTGTGTCGCCGAGTTCAAGTCTACTTCGATCGCATCTTGCAGCGCCTACTTATATAAATTAGCAAAATATCCAGAATGTTCAAGTAAACACGCGCAAGGTACCGAGAGTTCGAGTTTTAAACTTCAAGAAGTTTAGTTCTTCGGTTCGAGACTAGATGGCGCTAGTGCGCCGATTTGAGGCATTGGAGCGCGTAACACTGCCCCTCCTAAGACATGCTCGTCCCGAGCATTATCGGTCCCATAATAACGCGCTAGGCGATCCACATGGACGATCTTAGGAGTCCCTCTTGCGCCTTTCTGTATCCGGTAGGTTACATCGTTGATCCTGGTCATAATCCGGTACGGGCCGTCCCATTTAGCTTGAAGCTTAGGAGATTTCCCTTTGCTGCGGACTGGATTGTGCAACCACACAAGTGAACCTTCGTCGAACCCTTTGTTGTTCATTTTGCGGTCATACCGGGTTTTCATCTTTTCAGACATTTGCTGGCCCGATTGTCTGACGTGCTCATAAACGTCATTCATTTTGTTCCGCAAGTCATTTGCATAATCGGTTATACTGCGTGGAGCATCAGGTGGTATCCCGGTGATCAGGTCTGCAGGCAGCCGTAATTCTCTTCCAAAGTTTGCGAAAGCTGGTGTCACTGCTGTACTTTCGTGAAAAGCGCTTCGATAAGACAAAAAAAACGGTTGTATGTGCTTGTCCCCAACTTTTGCTAGGTACCTCTCCAATGTCTGATTAAATCGTTCCATCATTCCATCAGATTGCGGGTGATAAGAAGTCGTTCTTGTTTTATGAGTACCCATAACTCGGCAAGTTTCCTGGAATATTTGAGACTCAAAATTCCTTCCTTGATCGCTGTGAATCTCTAAAGGTACACCAAAACGACAGAAGACTTCATGAACTAGCTTATCAGCAACTGTTGAAGCTTCTTGATTTGGAATGGCGAAGACTTCTGGCCACTTAGTGAAGTAATCCATCACAACCATGAAATACCTGTTACCGCTTTCACTCTCCGGAAACGGCCCCGCCACGTCAATGGCTATTCTCTCCCATGGTGCACCAACATTGTACAACTTCAATGCACCTCTACTACGAGTCTGAGGTCCCTTTACAGCCGCACAACTTGTACATTTGCGACACCAGTCCTCGACATCGTTTCGACAGTGGACCCAGTAAAACCGTTCTCGGATCTTCAGTAGAGTTCGTTTAACTCCCAGATGGCCTCCCGAATAATCATTATGGTACAGCTGTAGAACATCCGGTACTTTAGCTTTAGGGACAACCATTTGTAAATGACAGCTGTCTCCCCGAACATTTTCCCATTTACGGCACAGAACTCCATCCTGAAGCAGCAAGCTGTCCCACTGGGCCCAATAGCTTTTAGTGGTCGAACTCATCGCTGAGACGTCGCTCCACTTGGGCTTGGGAGCACTGGCCTTCATCCATCCCAGAATCGGCTTGATGTCCGGATCTTCCTGCTGTGCATGTCGTAGGCTGTCCTTCCACCCGTTGCTGAGGTGGTCTGTCCTGAGCATCCTCACGGATACCACTTCCTTACTCTCTTGCCTACTACAATGGTTGCAATCTTCAGGATAAGGTCTTCTTGTCAATGCATCTGCGTTGCCGTGAGATTTCCCGCTGCAGTGTCTGATATTAAAGTCGTATTCCTGCTGCTGCTGGGCGGTGCTGTTAGCCGCACTTCCTTTCTGAGACCGTTCACCTTCCCTTCCTAGGGTGTGCTTAGGGCAGCTGGACCGAAGATGGCCCCTTTCCCCACAGCCATAGCACCTAGGGCTGTATCTTTTATTGTGGTCGCGAACCGTAACTGCTGTAACCTCCCTAGCGTGAGGTGAACGATGATCCTGTCGCCGCCAGGCAGTGCCGTTAGTTGCACTACCCTCTCGAGATCGATCAATTCTCCTTTCTAGGGTTCGTTTAGGGCAGCTGGATCGAAGATGGCCCTTTTCCCCACAGCCATAGCACCTTGGGCTGTATCCTTTGTTGCGGTAGCGAACTGTAGCTGCTGCAACCTCCCTGACGCGATGGGAACGATGATCCTGCCGCACGGCTTCCGCTTCCAGTGCATGGGTCAAGGCGTCCTTAAGCGTCTCGTGGTGCCCGAGCCTCACAGCAGCTCTGACTTCCAGGTCGCGGATGCCGTCGATGAATGTCTGCACCAGGTTCCCTTCAATGAGCGCAGGTACAGACCGGTATGCTTTTCGCACCAGCTTCTCCACTTCTAGAGCCCACTGCTGCAGGTTTTCGTTGATGCGCTGCACACGATCTTTAAGCTGCGCACGAAAGACGTGTTCCAGGTGAGCGTCGCCATATCTCGCCTCCAATGCCTCAAGGAGTTGCTCATAAGTCACTTCCTCACCGAGAGCTTCCAGAACTGTTAAGGCCTGGTCGCGCAGGCCTAGTGTGAGAGCAGTCATGGCCTGACTTTTATTCCAGCCGTTCGCCTTCATAACAGCCTCGAACTGGATTTTGTAGGCTGACCAGGAAGAAGTCCCGTCGAACGGTGGCACCTTGAACCCACGTAGCGAAAGTGCTGTAGCTACTACGGGAGCTGTCGTTCCATCCCCAAGTTTGAGGTCCTTCAGCGTTTTTTTCACGTCAGCCATCACGTTGTCAACCCGATTGTTCACATGGTTGATTCGGGTCTCATGTTCTTCGATTCGGGTTTCAGCTTCCGACAGGCGGTTGTCATGTTGAGCAACCCTATCCTTCACCTCCCTTATCTCTTTCCCAAAGGTAGCGTGAAGGTCCTTCATGAGGAGCATCTGCTCTTCCAACCGACGAGCCTGTTCCGCCTGCTGATCTTCCAACCGACGGGCCTGTTCCTCCTGTCGGCGGGCCTGTTCCTCTTGTCGGCGGGCCTGTTCATCCTGTCCGCTCTGCAGCTGCTCTTTCAACTGACGGGCCTGCTCCTCCTGTCGGCGAGCCTGCTCCTCCTGTCGGCGAGCCTGCTCCTCCTGTCGGCGAGCCTGCTCCTGCAGCATCACCATCAGAGCACCTAAGTCAGGTGCTGCAGATGTAGGATCTACTGACGGGCCTGCAGCCGGCGACTGTCCCTCCGACGTCTGCGGCGTTGCACCACCAAATCTTCGTTGGTCCGTCTCCTGCTGGCGTTGACTTCGGGTACGGACACCCTCCGTTTCCTCCTTAGGTAAAATCGGCATTATTTTATCCCACTTCTGACACCAATTGTTACGAGCTTAGGGTTCGTGACAATAAAAATTGCCGATAAAATTACCTAAATTAACACTTTAATTTACTTTACACAAATTAAAACTTAAAACACTAATGATTAAACACACTAATTCACTTAATTCCGCTCCGAAGCTTCGCTTGTGTCGCCGAGTTCAAGTCTACTTCGATCGCATCTTGCAGCGCCTACTTATATAAATTAGCAAAATATCCAGAATGTTCAAGTAAACACGCGCAAGGTACCGAGAGTTCGAGTTTTAAACTTCAAGAAGTTTAGTTCTTCGGTTCGAGACTAGATGGCGCTAGTGCGCCGATTTGAGGCATTGGAGCGCGTAACACTTCGCTTGTCTCGCCAAATCCAATACTGCCTCGATCGCATCCTGCAGCGCCTATATATACAAATTAGCAATGAAGCATCCGGAATATTCAAGTAAATACGCGCAAGGCGACGAGTGTTCGAGTGTAGATTTTCTAGAAACTTAGTTCTTCGGATGGCGCTGTCGGTTGAAAGATTTGTGATGTCATTTTCTGCAAAGCTCCCCTCGCTCGTTGACTTATTCACGCAACATTATTTTACAATCAGTTTTTTGGGAAAAATTTCCACCAGTTGTTTGTTGCTCCTGTTTTATCTCTTAAGTAATAATTTGAAGTGGATTTTGATACGTAAAATAGTGCGGATTCTGTGATATAAATTTCGGATTTTTCATGCATTAGATATCAAGCATAGAGGAAAGTAATATATCGTACATAGAGAGCTCACTCGTGGAATTTATTGAAAACCGCAAAACGTCAATTGATGTGATAAATGGCGCCATCTATTATCGCCATCCATAAACTTAACATCTATAGCTATAGCTGACTATAGGTACTATATAGGCAATAGTAGCTTTTCCTTCACCCTTACTTATTTACTTGTATTAAAGTTGATAAAGTTTTACTTGATTTTATTTTTCTCTTTAACAAAATAAGTAAGGACGCATCAATTTCAAAAGATTATTGAATAAACAAAAAAAAACAACTTTTATTTTACAATATTATTTATTTATTTACCTTGTGTTTATTATTATAAGCTTGGGCTGCTGCTTTAGTTTCATCCTCAATCAATCCTGATATCAAGTGTTTGCTGGATCAAGCGGTCGTGCTTTGTTAAGCTGTATGTTCTAAGTCCTTTGTCTGCCTTGATTGACGAGTCGTAACAACAATAACAATCAAATTTCTTTCACGTGCTAAAAAATAATAGTACATTTGTTATAATATTTAAGATATTGTTTTTCTAATATGCAATAGAAATAAACTACCTTATAATGAAACACAAAAGATTTGAAGAAAATATTTTAGTTGATGAAGCGTATACAAATTACAGTAGACCAGATAAAAATGAAGATCTTAAAAAAGGCTCGGGTATCGCAAAACATTTTGCAGAAAGCTTGGAATACGGAGAAAGGAAGAAATGGTATCACCAGGTAATTTAAACACTTATTAATATGATAACGTATAGAAGTTATTATAAGTGATGATTGAAGCCGATACAGGCAGCCTGTATCGGCTTCAATCATTATCAAACTATTACATTAATTGAAGTTGTTTGGTTTACGCAAATCTTTTTTGGATTGGTGTAAATCTAATTGTAGGCACAAACACTTAGGGTTGTGATGTAGCTGAAAATACCCATGTATTGTAGTAGCCACTTACCATAAGAAACTACTGTTTCACACTTTATAAAAAAGATACCACAAGGATCACATCTGAGGCCATTTTTTTACGCTCTTTATTAACAATATTGCCTTATCTTTGAATAACTTGAACAACAAGAAGTTCCCAAGTTTGGTACTTTTTGATTGAACTACTAATGTTTGGTTGCCTTGCTGTACTTCAACCAATCATGTAATCATAACTAAAAGCGATATACACGTCAATAAAAACACATAATCCTAAACGACAATTGTTTACCTTGTTCCAAACGTCCATTTTCCTAAGAATGCGTACAATGGTAATTTATTTTTCAACTTTTAAATCTAATATCAATTATTCTAACCTATTGTGGAGAACTGCATAATATAATGAATATAACATTAATATTACATCTTATTTTATCAGAAAATGCTAATTTAAATCAATGATACCATTGGAATATGAATCCTATGTTTTTTCAGTAAAATTCCATTTGGTCAACTACTGGTGATTAAGCTTGTTAATATATTTTTTGTTTACATTTATATAGTATAACTTATATTCATTCCATTTGTTGACCAGTGGTTTATTAGTGGTAAAATTTATGCTACGAGTTTGTTCCAGTAATTGACCACCTATACATATTCTACAGACATAATTAGGGCATCCAATCTCGGTATACTGAAATCTTGAAACACAGAGATCCCACATAATTTTCTAGTTCCTCGGGCAGTGGGATTACATGTGCAGCATCCGCAGGATTTATTTTTATATTTTATTTTCGGAGTATGAATTGGATACATTGCAAATTAGAACAAACACTTAAACCAATAAAGATTCTTTGACGGAAAGATTCTTGTTTCGTATGCCAGTTATACTTCAAAATTCATAATCAATAAATTAGAAGTTATTTCAACTTCAGCATTGGGTGCAGAGTTGGTTTTCATTACGACAATGTATTTTACAAAGGAGAACCAACTTGACTGCTTATTTATTTATCTCCAAAGTCCTGGTAAATACTACCAACAAGTCTCGATAAATGACATAACATTCAGCTTCTCATCGACAATTGTGCTATGAAAGGAAATAAAGGAGTTTTTCTAGATGATGAATTCATAAGCGTATCTGTTGATGATGTTGATGAGGATACAGATGATATGATGACGACAAAAATGACTAACTGCAATTCCTGTCACTACAAGAAGAATTAGAACCCACTCTGGCTTTAGTTTCATACATGAATTCTTTAGTTGATTCTGTAGTGTCCCGAATCAATTCTGTTGAATTCGTGATAATAAAAGAAATGAAGTTTCGAATCAGGAGCTTTGATGGGCAAGTATATTGGAAATTGACATATAATGCCATTAAATCTATTTCACCTACAAGTGTAGAAGCCAAAAAAGCTTTCTCTGTTGCAAGTTATCTAGTGTCGCACATTTGAAGCAGTCTGGCAGACGAGACTGGATACTTTATTTTATCTTCAAAAACATTTTCAACAGAAGTTTTAACATAATTTTTTTCAGTTCAATATATAAAACACAAAAATGTTTCTACTTATGTATGTTATAGACTTTGAAACCATCCAACCGATAACCACAACCTGGTTTCATTAGCAAGACAATGATGTGAAGATGGAAAACATTAACAAAATTTCCCTTTTTTTTCTAAGAAATAGATGAAAATGTATTTCTTTCTTTTAGCGTAATAGCACTTGCACACAAGAACAAATGCATATTTAGATCGCATCCCCATTAGGCTCATGGTGGCCTGCTGACTGTTTGCGTCTAGTTCGCTTCTCTATATATTTTAAATGGAGTGTCCATACAGCTCGTACTGTACACAGTTTGCGGCATTTTGCTTGCTGACTCATTCGGTGGGCAGCAGAATCGCAGTGAACGATACTCACGATCGGCGGTTCAGTTAGTTCACTACACCGCGCCGGCGCTACGCGATCAGTTGGAGTTGAACTAAATTAATGCTTCCAAAACAGCTATCACTGAGAATATCCATGGTGTCAAACACAACCACACCTCTCAGAACACTGATATATACTACTGTACCATACATTCCCTTCCTAGAGTTTGCAAGCGCTTCACGGCTAATACGCTACAGTTCACCGCTCACTAGATCCGATAGTTCGCCCCTCACTCGAACATATACGCCGCCGCTCAGAGGCAAGGGCAAACAGTCAACCGCTCACTGTGAGCCTAATGGGGACGCGGCCTAACAGATTTTTATATTAACATATAAATATCTCCTTTTTTCACACACTTACTCTGCCTTTTGAGATTTGCGTAAAGAAAAGAGATATTTATCTCAGCTTATGTAGCATTTGCCTACACTTGCGGGATCCCGCAAATTCCGAGATCCAGCGGGATCAAAAGTCATCGACCCCGCAAATACCGAGATTACAAATAGCATGCGGCGTTGGATGCCCTAGACACAATGACATCGAAAAGATTTTTTTCAAATATAGGATGTCATGAAAGCAGTAGACAAGATAAGTAAAGTCGCAAAAGGTGAAAGAATGAAACTGAAAAAAAAAAACATTATGAGCCTCGTAACATTAATGATTACATGGGACTTACAGATTCATATAATGCTGTGGTGAATACGAATTACAAAACTTAATTAAGGTCATGAATATTGATAACAAAATTATTCTTCATTCGGTTTTTTACTGGTTCACTATTGGCACAATGTCTGGTCTATTACTGGTACAATCTGGTCCACCTTAGGCACATTGCAACTTGTCACATTCATTTTCAAATAGAAATAAACTTAATAGCTATTTAGAAAGTTGAAATAAGCCACATGATTATATTGTGGTAGATAAGGAGTATGATGATTTTTTTTCATTATATTTTGTTTGTTACTGGTGTAATATATTTATGTATATCATGTAGTTTTTGTATGTATTTTCTTCTTCCATTTTTTTAATTTAAAAATATTGTGACAACCTATAGCAATAAGCTTCCTACTCTAAATGTCTAAGAAATAATTAAAAAAATAAATTAAACCTCTTTGTAGATACCAGAGGAACCAACAGTGACCAACAAAACTCTAACTCAAGATCAAATTGAGGAACTCCGGAAAGAAGCAAACAGTGCTCTTCATGGTGACACATTGGCGTATGAAACAAGTATGTTGCATGAGTATTTTATGATTCAATTCATTTAATTAATTTCAAGTTACGTAGACTGAGGTTAGTAGAAAGGTGATAGTATTGATTGAAAATATTTATCATTCTCAGAAATTTGTTGAGGCTGACCCTAACTGTGCACACTAACAAAAGCCGCATTAAAGCAATCTATGCATGCTTCTGGTAGATACCTGATACACTACATCGGCGGAACTGCCATATCAACATCCTGAACTGGTATATAATAATAATGAATCCGAATGGATTCATAGGCCTAATCTGGATAGTCATTCTACATACTGCACATATATGTAGATAGGTACAATAGCCCTAAATAAAGTTATTTTCTCCTCCCTAGAACACTGGGCAAGGCAACATGTTTGCCTGATCCTTCATTAATTCATTAACCTTTAATGTCATCATATATATACTTTTTATTTATTATCATCATTATCATTATGGCCAGCTGTGACATTCCTGAAAAAGCCTATTTTTGGCAGTTTACTTACAAGACTGATATTGATCTGGCCATAATTTTTGTGCCTCCATTACAGGAGTTACGGCCCAATCCATATCATATTGAGATCAATTATTTCCTCCTTTGTAACGTAAGTTACCTAAAAGGTAATCTGGAAAATAGTAGATAACAGTGTAACTGCATAGCAGACCTGATTTGACAAAAAATGTGAGCAAACAAAGCTGAAATTTTATTAAAACCTTATTTTTTTTTCTTTTAGAATCAAACAGAAATGGTTCATCAGATCATCAGTGGGCAAGAACACTTCTAAACAAAGGTGCAATCGGTGACAGGGTTGCTGCAGCTACTATTTTGATACAAGTATGTGTATTTTGTGTTTTTTTTATAGTATGGGGGTGACAAACGAGCACACAGTCCACATGATGCTAAGTGGATGCTGTGGCCCATACAAATATACATTTCTCCCTTATTAAGAATCAAAATACAGATGCGTTGTCGCCACTGAGGACTAAGATGGAATGCTTCATTTCCATTAAAAAGGGGCTCCGGTTCTCTACACTGACCATACAAAACATGGCAGCATTAATCTGCTATTTTGCGATCAAGCTGACCCATTCTTGCTACAACCATAATATAGCTGCGTGGCTCTTTCACAAATGTTGTGTGGAACCACTTTAAGGTGAATTTTGTTGTAAACATATAAAGGTAAGGATCATTTCTTGCCTACGAGTTTTTTCTGTTGGCACCATACTCTTCCCTATTAACTTTTCAAGAAAATAAGCAAGCTAATATTTTTTTTTTATAGGAAAAGGGTGACAAGCGAGCACACAGTCCACCTGATGGTAAGTGGTTGCTGTGGCCCATAGACATCTAACCCTATCCTCGTTTGCGAATCAAAATGAAGATGCGTTGTCAGCCTTGAGGACTAAGATGGAATGCCTCTTTTCCAGTAAAAAGGGTCTCTGGTTTTCTACACTCACCATATGAAACACAGCAGCATTAAGCTGCTATTTGAACCTGGTATTCTATGAGAGCGTGTTCCTTCCCCGGTCGACCCGACCTATAGTTTAGTTTACGACGGGCTGTTCTCCGCAACTCCACGTCTAAGCGCGTATTTTGCGTGTGGGCAGGAATAATATGCTTATTTGAGCCATGATATCTCCCTGAAGGAGCTCAGCAGTCCCTTGATGTTGCAAGCAACTTCGGGGAACGATCCCGGCGTGCCGAGATGTTTAGTCCTGTATGAAGCGACTTCTGGACATGTCAGCAACACGTGAGTCGCCGTTTCTTCCTCTCCCATGCATGCTCTGCACAGGGGGCTGTCAGTAACACCTATGGTGAACAAATGTTTGAGCCGACCCTTTCGTGCTATAACTATACAATTAATATAGCTGCATCATGACTCTACCACGTAAAAATACTTAGCAATATTCACAATTTCTCTATCTGCGAAAAAATCACAATAGTTAAACAATCGAAATGTTAATTTATTACTCATGGGACAGTGAAATAGTTAAGCATACTGATGTGTTCTAATTTTAAGGGTTTATAATCTAGTATAATCACAGGCTGTGAGATATTTCATCTTATTCCTCAGTGATGATAACATATATTTCACTTTTGCTTGAAGTTGTTTACTGTATCTAAGGGATGCAGTAGCTTCATACCATCAAGCTTGTTAGATTGTTTATTACTGTAACAAGATGAAAAAATCTTGAGACACTTCACCCATGAGACAATATGGGGTAGTGGATATGATATTCTTACAATGCCACCACATAGCACATACATAGGCATACCAGCCTGCTTCACCATTTTTTTTTTATTAAACTTCGGACCACAAACATTCACAATTATCAACTTATGTAATGTAATTACTACACATTTTTTTATTATTGTGAACTCAGCAATGCTGGCCACTTACTTAAGGATAAAATTTTTTCAATGATAGATAAAGCTTATACAGAGTTATTACAGAGTATAACTTGACATTGACAATATCTGGTTATTCTTAATCTAGAAGTAAAGTTTAAAGACAGTATCGACTAACAAACATTGTAGGGTTATTGGTAGGATATATGTCACCACTGCTCATTAGTTTTTTTTTTAAATGGTCATGTCATATATTCCATTATCTACTCAATGAGTACTTGTTTAAATTTTTCAGTGACAATCTTCTTAATTTAACTATTACATGTTGTATTTAATTTTTAAAACTGAACAATAATTTTCAGGACAGTCCTATTTACAACTTGACAGCATTAAGAAACTTAGTCAACAATGTAAAGCCGGCCAAAAAGAAGGATGGAATTGTAATAATAGGTAAGAGAATATCCTTTCTTTATCTTCTCCATCAGTCTGTAAAAGTGCACAGCTAGCCATGAGCCTCTCCTGTTGTATGACCCATTATAGCCTATCAAAAGTCCAATGCCGAACTTAGGACTCCCCCATAGAATGCCTCATAGGGGGAAGTGGATTATAGATATATATATGTGTGTGTGTGTGTGTGTGAACAGAGTAGAAGCCTACAGCAATGACATTTTACAAGAAATAAATATATGAATTAAACATTTGAAATTTTTTTTTTGAACAATTACTTTGACCTTGAGCTTGTGACCCTGCGAAGTGACAAGGTAAAAGATGCCTACTAAATATATTGTTTTATTGCCGTTCGTAAAGCAGGGTGAATATGAGTTTGGATAGATTTTAATTAATTTATTTATTCAAACGATAAATGTCAAAGCAGCTGTTACTCTGTAGAATTTAACTCTATTATACTGGATGGCCTTTTTTAACATCTGGAAAAAAAATAAGGTGTAACATGTGAACGGAGTAGAGCCTATGGCACTGATTATTATAAAAAAATAAAAACAAAAATTTTGAATTAAATAAATAATTAATTAATATACCGTTGTAATTAGTATATTATTTAGTGTAGTATATTAATTAATATAGCGTGATACCGTTGTTGATTATCGCTCAGAGCAGACCTGTGTCATATTAGATAAGAAAATATAATCGTCGCTTCAATCGATTAACGCACGTAGTGTATTGTAACCTAAGGTTCCCTTTGCCGCCAATAGCATCGTTTGTTAAAATTAGTTATATCTGTGTTGAAAGTGCAATACCTTACTCGTCGCATCCGAACACGTCACACCGAGTCGAAGTAAACAAAGGTAACAATTAACACCTACCTGCATTAATGCTTGTTGTACTTATCATTCTATAAACGATCTACACTACACAGCCAGCCAATAATAAATTGAACATAATGTCTAGCTGTACTGGTTGTAAGAAATCGGTGCGGCAATCTGAGAAAATAATTTGCACCCGCAGTAACTGCGCTAAGACATACCACTATTTATGTGTAGGTTTGACATCAGAAAGTGCCAAGAAAATATCGTCTTGGACATGTCCATATTGCATTAGCAAGCAACCAAAAGCAGGTGACAACACCAACACTCCGCTTAAACATACATCAGAAGAAAATTCTCCTGTAAGCTCTTATCTACAGGAATCATCTGAGTTTCGAACAGGCATCCTAAACTCTCTTAAAGATGAACTCCAAGTTCTTATGAGAAAGGCAGTTAAAAGCGAGTTAAGCTCCTTGAAAGATCAAATATCGACTATGGAAACTACTCTTAATTATATAAGTACCCAGTACGATGACCTCATGAAAAATCTTGCATCCACCACAGCTGAACTTAAATGCCTAAAGGAAGAAAATGCGCGTCTCCGAAGTGACGCGGATGCTAATACAAGACGTATTAAACAATTGGAAGAGGAGTTTGCAAGGCAACAGCAGTGGAGTCGTCTTCAGAATATCGAAATTACAGGTGTCCCAGAGGACAAGAATGAAAACACTGTTGAAATTGTTGTTAAGCTGGCCGAGAAATTGGGTGTCACCATGGACAGCAGTGAGGTGGAGTTTGCACATCGTGTGCAGCCTCGTAAGCCGAACAGTTCCATCATTCACCGTTCCATCATTGCCCGGTTTCGTCACCGCAGCACAAAAGATTCGATCGTAATCGCATCGCGTAAACATCGCGGCATCAAACTAACCGACATTGGTATGGTGCACAAGACAAGCAACGATAATGCCAGAAACAATATTTATATTAATGAACATCTTACACCATACAAGCGGGATTTATTTAAACAGTGTAAAATCAAGACTAAGGAATTTAATTTCAAATTTATCTGGACAAAAAACTGCCGTATTTATGTGCGTCGCAACGAAACTTCTCCCCCCATACCCATTATAACGACGGCCGATTTGATAAAAATAGTTTAAATTGTACTGATTGTATAGCGATGTTACTCTTAGTTATGTTACGCATACTTACACAATACACATTTCTCACTTACTTTCATCATATTATACCTCTTTACATTTTAACACCAAACAACTTGCAAAGTTATCATACAACATATTATTCATTGTTTCTATTTATCATTACTCAAACTACAAAACACTATGAAAAAATTCTACATCATATAAAACACTATGATAATATATCAATAGGCATTACAAACTGCCTTCCTGTTTTGTTTCTTTTTAAAACGTTATGTTATGTCTTATTGTCGTGGAAAAAGATACTTAGCATTCACTTCTTTTTTTATTATTACGTTTTCTCTGTAGTGCAAATGAAAGCAGTTATTACAATCCTTTATGTGTATCATTCTATAACTAATGGTGTACTTAATATTTAAAATGGCAAAGTGCAATAGTGGATTAAGACTTTTCTATCAGAATGTACGAGGCTTACGGACTAAGACTGACCAGTTTTATAATAATTTATTTCTATCTAATATTGACATCGCTTTAATTACAGAGACATGGTTATGCGACAGTATTCTGGATACGGAGTTGTGCAGTTCTGACCAATACGAACTATTCCGTCGCGATCGCGGCGCGCTCGGAGGTGGTGTGATGATTGCGTGCGCTTCCCGGCTCAGGGCGCGCAGGCGCTCTGACCTTGATCGCGACGATCTTGAGTGCATATGCATAACAGTACCGGCGCGTGCGCTTGACTCACAACATGATTTAAATATTTTATGTGCTTATATACCGCCAAACCGCGCGCTTTCATTTTGTATGCAAAACTTTATACAAATACTTACTGTTGCGATTAGTTCAAAACCAGATGACCATTTTATAGTAATTGGTGATTTCAACTTACCTTGTATAAATTGGAAATTAAATAAACCTATAATATTAAAAAAGGGGATCTGTCGAGATGCAGAACTCTGCTGTTGATTTAATTAATACTACTTCTTATTTAGGTTTATCTCAATACAATTATTTAGTAAATCCATATGGTAATATACTGGATTTAATTTTCTCTAATATATCTTTAACTATCGTAAAATCTAAAGCCCCAATTGTAGTTGAAGATATTTGTCATCCATCAGTCGATATTTATGTGAAAGATATAATAGTACCTTCGATTAAACCAAAAACTAGAAAAAGAAACTTATTTAGGAAAGCTGATTATAATAAATTAAATACTTTTTTTTCTAATTACGATTGGTCCTTTCTAAAATCTCATGATTTGAAATACGTAATCGACACTTTTTATGTTACATTAAATACAGCTATCTCTAACTTTGTGCCACAAAAAATTGTATCTCATACTTACAATTATCCTGTTTGGTATAGTAATGCCTTAATAAAGTTGATTAAAGAAAAAGCAAAGTATCATACTTACTGGAAAAAATATGGAAACCCAAATGATTATGAATCATTTTCTTTGTTGCGTTCCCGTTTAAAAAAACTTGAAAGGGAATGTTATTCGTCTTACATTAATTATTCTCAAGAAAAAATTAAAACTACACCTAAATTGTTATGGGCTTATATAAAATCCAAGAGGAAAAATAAATCAGCTTATCCCCAAATAATGCAATACAATAATAATCAATTTTCAAATCAAAATGATATTTGCAATGCTTTCAATGAAATTTTTAGTCGTAATTTTAGTCTACCGGCATTACATTATCAAAATTTTACACATAAAAATTTCCTAAGCAATGATGTTATTAGTGATATACATCTTTCTGTAAAGGACATAAAAAAGGCTCTTGATAATCTCGATTGTTCTAAAGGCGCTGGATGTGATGAGATTCCTCCATATTTCTTTGTAAAGTGCGCAGAATCGCTAGCGGCTCCTATAACATTAATTTTTAATCGATGTTTTGCAGAAGGTTATTTTCCCAAAATTTGGAAAACCGCTAACGTCGTTCCAATCCATAAAAAGGGAACCAAAACAGACATCGAAAATTACAGACCTATTTCTATTCTTAATGTACTGAGCAAGTTGATGGAGAGGGCTGCACATAAGCATTTATATCCTCTGATTGTTCGTCACATTCCTTCACAACAGCATGGATTCGTTCGTGGTCGCTCAACCAGGACTAATTTATCAATTTTTTCTAATGATGTTCTTCGAGGTATGGATGATGGTTTTCAGATTGATGCCATATATACAGACTTCGAGAAGGCATTTGATCGCGTGGATCACATTATTCTATTGCGTAAACTCCAAGAGCTAGGAATTCATGGAAATCTTCTTAGGTGGATAGAGTCCTATCTACGTAACCGATCTCAAGCTGTTGTAATAGCTGGACATCGCTCTGATTTCGTGGATGTCCCATCTGGAGTCCCTCAAGGGTCCATATTGGGTCCGTTGCTGTATGCATCATACTTGTATGATATAGTAGACTGTTTTAAATTTTCCAAATTTCTCATGTATGCGGACGACACTAAAATTTACGCATATATTAAGTCTGAGGAAGATGCACACCAACTTCAGAAAGACTTGAACCAGCTTTGTTTCTTCTATCATGATAACCGTATTAGTGTTAATATAACAAAATGTTATCAAATAAGCTTCACTCGTAAAAGACACCAAATTGAATATCGATATAAATTAGATAACATACCTTTGGAACGCATCTACCAAACCAAAGATCTTGGTGTTATTTTTGATTCCAAGATGCTTATGTCTAATCATGTCACGACAATGGTTGCAAAAGCGTATAAAAATTTAGGATTTGTTCTAAGAGTGTCCCGTCCTTTCTCAGATTCTGAATGTATTAAAAATTTGTATTATTCTTATGTAAGAAGTGTTTTGGAGTATTGTTGTAATGTCTGGAATCCGCATTATTTGTCTTATATAGAGAATATAGAGCAAATACAATGTAAATTTATTAAGACGTTAAATTATCGTACTCAACATAAAAAAAGCAGTTATAAGGAATCTTGCTATCACCATAACTTATTGCTGTTAAAAGACCGACGTACACTTCTACAAATTTTGTTTCTACACGACATCTGTAGTAATAAAATTGATAGTCCCGAATTGACAGTTCAATTCCTACAATTCAATGCTCCTTCGAAGCGTACCAGACATACATCCCTATTTCATGTCCCTTTAAGTCGCTCTAAATATGCTCAAAATTCTGTCATTAGTCGTACACTTAACTGCTACAACAAAAACTTTTCAACTATTGATATTTTCCACGACAGTAAAGCTTTCATAAAAAAAGAAATAATCTCAATTTTAAGAAATAGCAAGTAGTATAAATCTAAAAAAATAACACGTACAAACATGCCACACCTCTTTCATATACACACTCTCACACTCACACACACACACACACACACACACAACACACAAACACACACACACACTCACAAATACACACACAAATAAATATTTACAAAACAAAACACTAGTAGATGTACATATATGCACTGTATTTTGTAAAATGCGTAATGGCGTAATGACTACTCTTTAAAAATAACCCTGTATAATATTATTAACACACAGTTGTAGCGATACGTTAGAAGATTTTTTTTTTTATAAAGTAAGAACCTGTAATTGGCAGTAGAAAATGTAAATACTTACTAATTTTATAATGTTACAAAATGCTGTTGGTTCTGTTACAATAAATTAAAAAAAAAAAAAATATCTATCCAAATTCAAATCATATCCACCCTACTTCACGAACGGCAATAAAACAATAAAAGTAGGCATCTTTTACCGTGTCACTTCACAGGCTCAAGGGCAAAGTAATTAAAAAAAATTCAATGTTTAATTCAAAATGTTTGTTTTTATTTTTTGTAAAATATCAGTGCCATAGGCTTCTACTCCATTCACATTTTACACCCTTTTTTCCAGTCGGTAAAAAAAGTCATCCAGTATATATAGCTGTTGGGCACTAGAGGTTAAAGATGTAGTGTTTAGTTATTAATGGCCTTGGAATTGGTAACCATCTACCTTTGCTATGTCTAATATTAAAATAAATATTCCTATAACTTAAACTTTATATACCTATAAATATTTCAGATGCTCTATCCGAACTATTTATTTCGGAGCTGTTGGTTCCCGACATCAAACTGCGCACATTCGAACAACACTCACTGGCACATCTAGACGAGATGACTTCGGGAAATAAGCAAGCACGCAGAAATATACTCAAGTATTGGTATTTCGAGGATCAACTGAAAGAGCTATATGGAAGTAAGTTATTTTACTTTTCTTTTCGTTTTATTTTTGTTTAGTTTAGCTCCAAGTACCAGGAGGAACAACTAAAAGAGCTATAAGAAAATAAGTAATTTTACTTTTCTTACGTTTTATTTAAATTGTTCGAAGTGTAGATATTGCAGTCTGATGTTTAAACACCTAGTTAATTTGTCAACTAGCTATTAAGTTAATCATCGGCATTTAACTAATGCCTTAGACCTGCGTCCATTGACTTCCTGCATGTCTTACCAGGTCGTCACTCCATCTAGTGGAGGGCTTTGTTTACCGTACGAGATTGTCACTGGAGAACCTTTCTTCCCTATCGGTTTTCGGTTCCTCGAGCTATATTACCGGCCCTTTGCCACTTGAGCTTCCTAATCTGTTGGGTTACTATGATTCTACTGTGGATATCTTCATTTCTATGTTTATCATGCAAAGAAACCCCAAGCAATAGTCCTATCCATTAATAGTAAAATTTATCAAAAGCGTAACACAATGTTATGCCAGAAGTTTCATGAATTTAGTGAAACTTTCTATCAGAAAAAAATTACAGATTAATTTATCAGGATTACAGCATTTAGATGTTGGGCCAACAGTTTCATGTGCTTTCCGAGGAACGGCGTAACTCCGTGTTCCCCAAAACACATCCAATTTCCTAGCTCTGGGCAGCGACTAAGAATTCTCTGCAGGAAAACCTAATAACTGATTTTGGCCAGACCCGAAATTCGAACCCGGCCCCTCTGAACAGTAGTCATGACTTGGAAAACTAGACCAACAAGGCAGGTCACTATTAATAGTACTTTAAGTCAGTGTTATACTACCTTTAATGTCATCTGATTGTAAGAGGTGATAAAGCCCAACTTATCCAGATCTGCCACTCATTGATATTAACAACAATTTCACAGCATATGTCGAGGCTTTGAACAAGTTTGCCCATGACTCCGTTGAGGCTAATAAGGAGAAAGCAGTTAGTGCAATGTCATATTTGCTGATGCATCATCCAGAAAGAGAGAAGGTAAAATTATTTTAAATATTCACCACCCTATAAAGTTGAAACTATTAATTAACAATGTTTTGTATTAAGATAGAAACAGTTCTGTTTTTGGTACAGTAAGTGTTTTACAGATGCTGCTCACGAATATCATAAATAAACTCGGTGACCCATCACAAGCTGTAGCTTCGAAAGTTATATACCACTTGTGTCAGCTCCTGTTTAACCATCCCAATATGAAAGGTGTAGTCCTGGCTGATATAGAGAAGATGTTGTTTAGGTAAGATTTTGGTTTTCCATAGCTAATTTAAGCTGTGATAGCAAAGAGGAAAAGTTTTTGCTGTAAACTTCACAATACCCAACTGTATATTTTTACAACATTTGTAAAAGTTTGCTAAGCAATAACTACCATTTGTCATAAATTATAATAAGACCTTATTGTACACTTAATGAGCAAAGGTAGAGCCATGCTGCAGTTATATTGGTAGTATAGTTGTAGCACAAATGTGTCGGCTCGACTGGGGAAGGACCACGCTCTCACAGAATACCAGCGTAAAATAGTAGCTTAATGCTGCTGTGTTTCATATGGTGAGTGTAGAGAACCGGAAACCCTTTTTACTGGAAACGAGACATTCTATCTTAGTCCTCACGGGTGACAACGCATCTGCATTTTGATTCGTAATCGAGGATAGATGTAGATATCTATGGGCCGCAGCAACCACTTATCATCAGGTGGACTGTGTGCTCGTTTGTCACCCTACCGTATAAAAAAAAATAACTACTTGAATTGTTAATTCCAACTTTAAGCGGTGAATAAAGGAGATATTGTCCTCCAGACCGAATTTTGATCATGGCGGCCACTATCAACGGAGACTAGCCATCGGCGCAGGACAGGATTATAGTGCCCAAGTGTATGCGGAAGCACAGGTGCACTCTCTATTCCCTCACTCTTACTCTCTAATCCGATGGGACGGTAAACCGACACGACCGGAGACAGATCAGGCGGAGGAACAACGGCTTTACGTGCTTTCCTAGGCACAGGAGATAGACACCGCCAACTTCTTGACTCTAGGCAACTACTGAGAATTTCTTGATGGAAAAACTCAACAATTATTTTTTGGCCCGACCCGGGATTCGAACCCAGAACCTCATGATCAGCAGTCGCACTACTACAACCACTAGACCAACGAGGCAGTCATATCAATCACATCAATAATCGAGAACATAGTTAGTTAGAAAACTTTTCTAGAAAGTGAAATAGATTTTGAAGCCATGTAAAGTCTAGCAGGACTGTTGAACTTCTTTGGGAAGATTTCATGGCTCGAATAATCATATTATTCCTGCCCACACGTAAACTACGCGGTTAGACGTAGAGTTGCGGAAAACAGCCCGTCGTAAACTAAACTAGACTAAAATCTTTAGCACTGTCGCAGAATGGCACTCAACCCTGCTCGTTAACAATCACAGAAACGATAGAAGACCTTTGTGTGTATGTTACCGTTTAGTGGCGGTGTAAGAATATCCGCTAGCCCATATCTTCCCGTGGGTGTCGTAAGAGGCGACAGAGGGAGACAGGCAGGAGATGGGCAGCAGCATCTTCCTAATAATGACTAAAAATAAAAGAACGACAGTTGCCTACCCGCTTGCCAAGTGTGGCTACTACACCAAATATTCCCCCTTTGTGGCAATCTAGGTCTATGTTCAAGAGTGGACTTTAATAGGCTGTCATGTTTACCATATGTATATCTATTTCATTCGCACACTGTATCCTAACTACTGGTACTACTGCTTTTTGTATAATATAAGGGTGACAAACGAGCACACAATCTACTTGATGGTAAGTGGATGTTGTGGACCATAGTCATCTACATTTAACCTCGATTAAGAATCAAAATGCAGATGCTTTGTCACCCCTGAGGACTGAGATGGAATGCCTTGATTCCAGCAAAACGGGTCTCCGGTTCTCTACACTCACCATATGAAACACAGCAGCATTGAGTAGCTATTTTAAGCTAGTATTCTGTGAGAGCGTGGTCCTTCCCCGGTCGAGCTGACCCATTCTGCTACTATAATATAGCTGCAGCGCGGTTCTACTACGTACAATATGCTTGATGGATTTATACAACTTTCACTGTCTGGTTTTCATACACAATAGTAATGACGTATATGTAGTGCATGGGACAGCAAATGGGTTAACATAATGTGGGGTGTCGTTAGATTCGTCATTAGATATAAAAAAGATCTCTCTTCAGTAAACTTTTTTAAACCGTCGGGTATTTTTTAATTATTGTTTTAACCTTTAAATTTGTATAATCTAAAAACTTTCAGGTCAAACATTTCCCCTCGGGCACAATATTATGGCATCTGTTTTTTGAATCAGTTCTTTCTCGGGAAGGACGATTGGAAAATAGCGGAGAATCTCATCCGTATTTACTTCTCTTTCTTTAAGGCTTCTATTAAGAAGGTTAGTATATTTTTAGTCATAGGTCTTGACCATCTCCAACCATTATAAATTTCTTATATCTAGGTTATGTTCCAAAATAGAACCCAGTGTACTGTCCAATGCAAATGACGTCATGAATCGACGCTATACTGGTGATTCGTTCCAAAACATAGGACAGTATATGTCGTCATACATTTGCGCCATGTTGGAAAAGTGTTGGCAATTATTTTGTCATTTTGTGCTCCAAACGTCATTATATCCTCCTAATGGATATGCCAGCAATTATTCTATAATTTTTTGTATTTGAATAAATAAAAAAGGATTCTGGCATGCTTCATTCAGCGCACACACAGTTAAAAATTGTTTTATTATGGATATCCGACACAATATGGCGGCGGCACGCCAGTACAATATAGTGTCAATTGATGACGTCATTTGTATTCGGTAGTATACTGGAAACGTTTCGGAACATACCCATAATATGGTTGTAGCATATACAGTCTTCTCTCCATAGTTAGACACTTGTTAATTTGAATCTTTCGATAATTTGAAATTATTTCCCGATCCCTTGAAAAACACTCGATAAATTGAATAAAATCAATATCAAATGGTCCCCTAGGTAATTGAAGGAATAGTACCAAGCCTGTCAACATGCAATAATTTGAATTCTAGCCTTCCCTACTCTCTATAATTTGAAGCGTTTATCATACACAGACCTGTCGATTGTTTACATTAATGAGACACGAGCAAACCGAAAACGTAGAACAGATATCGCAGCCGCCACCTTATTGTTTCGGATATCCGGCCATAATAAAACAATTTTTAATTGTGTGAGCGCTGAATGAAGCATGTCAGAATTCGTTTTTATTTATTCAAATACAAAAAAATTATAGAATAATTGCTGGTATCTCCATTAGGAGGATATAATGATTTTTGGAGCACAAAATGACAAAATAATCGCCAACACTTTTCCAATATGTCGCAAATGTATGACGTCATATACTGTCCTATGTTTTGGAGTGAATCACCAGCATAGCGTCGATTCATGACGTCATTTGCTTTGGACAGTACACTGGGTTCTATTTTGGAACGTACCCTATAGCTACAGCATGGCTCTACCAAGCTTGGCTCTACCATATATTACAAACATACATTAACATCCATTTCTATGTCTGTTTTCCTCTGTCACCTCTATGGTATGGATATGGGATAGTTATATTTTTAGACTGCCGCTACATGGTTAGGACATGCTCTAAACGAATCTTTATTGTAGAACCGGTAAGTGAACTCGAACAAAAATATTTCCTTTTGGTACAGGGTGAAATCGACTCACGTCTAATGTCAGCTATCTTGACGGGAGTCAAACGAGCATACCCGTTCGCAGACAAAGAGAGACTGGCATCAACAACCGAACATATTAACGCTGTTCATCGTCTAGTGCATCTCGCCGGACTGAGTGTAGCTGTACACGCGCTTGCTTTGTTGTTTCACATAAGTGATGCCTCGGAAGGGACTTCGGATCGGTGAGTTACCATAAATTTTTATTGTTTATAGATTTTTATACAGAAGTCCATTAGTCCGGCATCCAACAGTCCGGAATGTCCGATAGTCCGGCATCGCTCTTTGGTTTTCGGTTTTCACCTAAAGTGTGTCTTTAAAGCAAATAAAAACACTCGAGAGCTATTCGGAAGTTTTCGGGGTAGTTCGGGATCATCCGGAAGCGCTCGGTATTGTTCGGAAACAATTTCGTAGTTAGCGGCCGGCTAGTTGGCTCCGTTAATCAATCACGAAGCGTCTTCGCCATTTTTTGTGCGTTGTTGCTTTGTGTTCTTTCACATCGCAGTAAACGTAACTTTTGAAACTGTTTATAAAAACTTTTTTTAAAAGTGAAAATATTATGTGTTTGAAATGTAAAATAAACTTTGTTTTATGTACATACATACATATTTGCATACTGTATTTGTAGTTTAATTATTAACCTAATTGTTCTTATAATTACCGCCCGATAGACCGGTATTTTAGGTAGTCCGGCACCGAGAATAATTATGAGTGACAACGGAACACTATCAAGCTGAAGCTTTGTGCATGTTGCATTACTCCTTATTATATCCATATAAAAAAAATTCGCATGTTGCAAATTATTCATCATTCAAAAATTTTAACTTATAATTTATGTTGAATGAAAACAATATTATATTTCATTCTATTCTGTCCTTCACTTGAGCTTGGTTGGCTCAAGAGTTTTTGGCGGGAACGTGACCGTCGAGGGATTGTTGATCCTGTTTTATCGTTGTGTATTTTGATACGTAAAAGTGATACGATTTTGTGTATTAAGATAGCGCATGTGAACTATTGCAAACGACGATGCTTCGATGTTGATATAAACCTCAAATTATTATGAACGCTTAGGCGACTTATGAACCTGAATGACTGTCATCATCGACTGTCCGCTCCCAAAAGCTTGCAAAGATAGCAGTTTAACGCATCAGCATATTGTGAAGAAAAATCTATGGAAACAAAGATCCTAAATGAAATGAAGACTTGGCTTAAAGGACAAGCATCCAAGCCAAAAATCTTAATTTAAAAATGATTAGCTCAATAACATAAACACTTCTTGTATATTGACTAAGTATTTTTGTAAATGTAAATTTGTAAATACTATCATTTTAGGTTTTGCTCTTGTCGTTTTCTTGGTTTATATTTAGGCTCTATAATAGACCAACAATGGAAATTTTAATTACAATTTTAATTGCTCTTTTATATCATGCTCAGCGGTGACACCTAGAGGAAACCTTCATGTCTGAGTTCATTTTTGAGGATATGTGAAGTAAGCAAACATGCATTGGGGTACCGCAGCGGACTTTTCCTTGCCCCAAAAACTCTCTCAGGGATGAAAGGAAGCCTGTGAATGAAAAGAAAAACAGCTGTTACTCTACTAAAGATTTTTTTTGACATTTTTGGCATATGAATATAAAATGTCCCAAAACTCAACATCAAGTGAGTGCCGGGTGAGAGATCAGGTAATATCGCACTGACCTCTTGCCCGCTGACGCTTCATTTGATATTGACGGGAGAAATTTTTCACATAACTACTAACATTTTAGTAAATTGAATACAATGGGTGCGAAAGAACCCAAAAAGAAAGAGCCACAACCCCCCCTTTGTATAAAAGAAAAAAAAAAAGAAAAAAAAAACTTTGCTTACAAGCGCTTGCTAGCGCTTTTTTCTGCCAAACGCACCCATTGCATATTACTTCAAAACAGACGAAAATTTAGAAAAAAAAAACAATAAGATTATTTCATTTCAGATATTACACAGCGTTGTATCGCAAATTAACGAACGCGGAAATTTTCAATACCACCCATTCCGCTCTTCTCTTCTCACTCATCTACAAGTCGTTGAAGCAGGACAAAAATATCGAAAGAGTGACGTCGTTTATAAAGAGACTCCTCCAGTTGTGCTGCTACATGACACCAGCTCAAGCTTGCGGGATGTTGTTTCTGATATCTCAGGTCTTGAAGGACGGGGCTAAAAAAGACGCTATTAAACTTGTGTGGAGTAAGAGGGAGCTTAAGGAAGAGGTACTCTTAAGATATACTTTCTTTTGTTTTACAGAAAAACGTTTTATATGTGATAGAGCCTCTTTGCAGCTGTATTATGGTTGTAGCATGAATGGGTTGGCTCGACCGGGACGAACCACTTCCTCACAGAATACCAGTGTAAAATAGCAGCTTAATGCTGCTATGTTTCGTATGGTAAATGTAGAGAACCAAAGACCCTTTTTACTGGAAATGAGGCATTCTATCCTAATCTTAAAAGGTGACAACACATCCTGCATTTTGATTCTTAATTGTTGATTTCTATGAGCTACAGCATCCGCTTACTGTGTTCATGTTTGTTATAATATTCCTATAAAAAAATGTTTGAAAAATATGTGATTAATTTAAGAATTGTGTCTCAAATAGCTTTTAATTGACAATTTAAACTACAAGTTCGGCATAAAATATAAGAAAATTTAATTTTATAGTAAATAAATGTAACAATCCTTTTTATATATTAGACACATAGATATTATATTTTCTTTCGAGTAAAATTATAATACCGCTACCTACTTCATTCTATAGGTAGTCACTTTATCGAACAACTGATCGACACCCAAGGTGGTACGTAAAATAGACGCTACATGGTCGGAATTTATGAAATCATGAATTTTGAATGAATGTTTTTTTTTTAGATTATGAAAAGTGAACCATACAGATGGAAAACGCACGAAACTACCTACTACCGGTTTTGATGATTCTTTTTTTATTCAAATTAGTATTACTTGGACTCATTTATTGTATTACTTATTTTATTTAAACAACATATTTTAATCCGACCATTTTAAAAATATCTAAAGAAGTCTTCGACATTGTTAATGTACTTTTAAAAGTACGGGAGAGCCACTAATTTTTACGTTGAATAGATTAATTACCCTTCGAATGTTTACTCTTTTTGATATACCTTATATAGTACTCACTAATTACAAAACGATTTATATCAATTTTACCTATTACGAGGTTGAGAGTTGTCCGTTCTTCATTGCTTATTTTATTACTTCATTGTTTATTCCATAGGCACACGACACCTTCGTACCTTGTTGAACAAAACGCGTAAGCGACGCCGTTTCGGCGGCGTTTACGCGCTTTTTTCTCGCGAGCATTGAGCTATAATGCTTCCTATCTCATTTTCTACAACGTTCAATCTTATAAATTTATATGTCTGTCTCTTTTTATTGTCGCTTTTTCGTTTCATAGACTTTCAAAGCACAACGATGTTAGTTTTAGTTTTTGAAAGAGTTACGTTTTTGAAGTGATAAAGAAGTTTTCACTTCAAAAACTAACTCGTAAGTCAAAAACTAGATTTTTGCACTACTAGACAGAAGTCTCTCCCAATGTGGTAAGAGTTTGCCGTAATTGCCAAGCTCAATGGGCAGCATCAGACATGTGCACCTTTGACTCCACTCCCCGCTGCTGATTTCGGTATTTAACAAATGGCATATTATACAAGTTGACGGTGAAAATCCACTACCCCATATCATCCTGTGGGTGTCGTAAGAGGTGACAGAGGAAAAAAACCAGGAGAAGATGGGCGGCAGCGTCTTTTTAGCCCTTAAATGCGCTTTGTTGCTATTGCGATGTAAGAAAAAACCGATGCAAATTTCCTACCTGTGTAAATGTTTCTCTAGAGTGTACTAATTGTCAAGTGGCTTTGTGTCATGCAAAAGGAAGAAACTTTTTCGCTGAGTCTCAAGGTTGTTAGAAGATTTGAATCCAGGAATAACATCTCAATCTTTATTCTAATACATAACTTTGTTATAAGTCCAAACACGCAATGTTGCCATTTAGCAACATACTGTTTTTCACCCTAAATAAATCGAATAATCATCACTGAATTTTTTTTATTATTTTTCCCTCATTTTATGACCCCAAATCTGTAACATATATTTATTTCAGATAAAGTAAAATCGCGCATTGAAGGGTTAACAACAACAAAAAAAATTAAAAACTATGGTTGACAGCCCGTTATGTGTGGCAACTATGGAAAATATCCCCCCTGTAGAACGATCTATGGGGGAGACTATGTTTAGCATAAGCGTAATGAATATATATGAATGATTATAGTCTTCATAAATGCAAAAGGCGCCTCTTACAACACTCAAGAAACAAATGGGGGTGATGAATCTCTCATGTCGTCACTGTATTTTCGTATAGAGACAGTTAATTTACACTAAAAACTTTAACTTCAAATAAAATTTTTAAAATAAATTTTATTTTTCAAATAAATATCAATTTCACTCTCTCTCTCTCTCACACATCACACACACACACGCACGCACGCGCACGCACGCACGCACGCACGCACGCACACACGCACGCACGCACACACACACACACACAAAATCAGACCCGGACGTAATCATTCCTATTCCAACTATTGCGGAATCATCTCTTGCAGGCCCTATTATTTATTTTAAATTTATTTATGTAGTAAAACAATACTTCCTTAGTTTTTGTATTAGAAGCATTAATTTTAAAGGCCAATGACAAGCACGCAATATTAACACTATCTCGATGTAAATGAGGTCCAGTTACAAACCGTTTTGTATCGCATGCCAGGGTCCTAAGATACAAGCTGCGCTTAGTTTAGGTCCCGCAGCTACCTGTGTTCTTTATAATGTTACTTATTGTTAAAATAAATAAATATAAAATAAATATATAGATAATGTGCAGTTTGCAATAAAGATAATAATTTCATTCTGGTAACATTAGATTTCTGTTTATAGGAAGTAAAAGAAGAACAGCAGAAACAAGAGGACGAACATGAAACAGCAGATGTAAACGATTCAGTAAACACGAGTATAGAAACTGTAGAGAAGGAAGAAAAAGAGAAAGTTGAACAGAAAAAAATCGATCTTTTGCGTGGTGACAAGAGAGATCTGTTAATGGGTAAGTCATCATCATAATTAGTGCCGCCCATTACAAGTTTACCTCCACCATGTTTCATTCTAACACATTACATTATAATTAACTATAGACTGTATCTTCTGCAAAGTCAGCGTATGGATAATAACATTTACCTTGCATACTGTAAATGATACCTGGGGACATATTGCTAATGATGTAATGAATTAAAGCTATTAGAAAGAAACGAAGAATTAGCTTACAACAATAGCATATTTTAAATTGGGTAAATGTTAACTAATGAACTAAAATGAACAAAAGAATATAGGTCTCATAAATTATCACAGAATATGGCCCTGAGCCACTTGCATCTATTGACTATATGCGTGTTTCTCAGGTCGTCACTCCATCTAGTGGGCGGTTGCGAAATTATAGGTTGGTCCTTCCCCACCGAACAAACAAAAATATTGATTATAGTTTAGTTTGGTTTGCAACAGGCTATTTTCGCAACTCTGCGTGTAAAGCGCATATTTTGCGTGTGGTTTTGTTTTAATGAACAAAGGCGATAAACGAGCAAACGGTCCACCCAATGGCAAGTGGATGCCGTGGCCCATAGACATCTACATCTACCCTTGATTAAGAATCAAAATGTAAATGCGTTGACACCCTGAGAACTAAGATGAAATTTAAATCTCCAGTAAAAATGGTCTCCGGTTCTCTATACTCTTCATACAAAATACAGTAGCATTGAGCTGTTATTTTACGTTGGTAGTCTGTGAGAGCGTGTTCCTACCCCGGTGGCAGGGTTGGCAATGTTTAAAACGTTTGTTTAAAACAAGTGTTTAAAACACTGTTTAAAACACTGGAAAAAATACATACCTGTTTAAAACACGTTTTAAAACATTATAATTAATCCTATTTTTTTTTGTACTTTTTAAAACTTTTTATTGGCAACATTATAATTTAAGGTGTATTGTAAATTGTGATGGCAATTCTAGCTGGCGGCTGACGGGGATTACCCCAGCAGACTATAATGAGCGAACAAGTAAGGTATTTTTCTACTCTGAGTAAATGGGAAAGGGATGAAGATAGTTCGCTCCGCTTGTATTGTACTGCGGTATTTTTCTTATTGTCATTGTAGATTATTCAGTGAGACTGTAATGACTAGTGAGTGATAGATAATTTGATTGAGTTTCGTTCGTTTAGTATTTATTTGTTTGATTTATTATCAATCTGGAATACTCTGGATCTGCATTCTGCCTGCCTGCCCTTCCAAAAGACAGAATGTCTACAAGACGAAAAAAGGATTCGCTTTGGCAGTACTTCAGACAACTGCCTGCATCTACAACAGGGGGTGGTGCAAAAACACTCAGGGCGAAGTGCAAGTATTGCGGGAAAGACTTGGTAGGGTTAATCGCCTAATGAGGGCACATCTAACAAATTGTTCATATAATGCGGCTAAAAAGTCAAGCCCATCGACTTCGAAAGCAAGAATCGAAATCCATAATGATTCAAGTGAGGATGGTAAGTAAATACTTGTATTTTTATATAATGTTTGTTGCTTTGTAGATATCTAATACCAACTTAAAGTATATACATTTCAAACGCAATGTTATTCTGTATATCTGTCCCTTAGTGAAATTGAAAGGACAGTATAGTTATTATGCCAGAAATCATACTTGAAGGGGGTGATATGAAAGGGGGATGAAAGTTTGTATGAGGAGCCAGTTTTTCCACGCAGACAAAGTTGCGGGTACCCACTAGTATTGCATATAAATGTGTGCCGTTTATAATTTGATCTCACTATTTTTATTTATACACTTTTTAGCTTTATTTTGAAATGTACCATTAAACAGTTGCAAATAAATCCTTATTGAAATTTAATCTTCCTGAAATTTATTTTTTACCTAAATACCTAGTTAGTTACACGTTTTATGTGTAAATATATATATTGTACACAGTTTTTTTTTTTTTCACAGACAGTGAGGCAGATGGAATCCAGACCAATGTTGAGCCTATTAGCAAAAATCGAGGCAGGACTCATCAGCGTCGTCAAGTCGCTCAATAATGTCGATATCACAATATGTTGTGAAAACATCAGAACAGGAAAAGCATAAAATAGATTCAGAAGTTGCCAGATACTTTTATGCAACGAACACTGCATTCCGACACTCTGAGCATCCAGAATTTGTCAGTTTGATGCAATTAGCTCGAAGACTATGTACCACCTAAAAGAAAAAAAATTGGCGGAAATTTGCTAGACGAAGTGTATGGTACCGTAAAATCAAATATGGAAAACAGTTTGAAAGGAAAAGTGGTTTATATGGCACTGGGTGGGTGGAGTAATATACGCAATTAACCTATTGTGTGTGTTAGTGTAACCACTACTGAGGATGATGGTAAAGTTTTTCTCACAGATACAGTAGATACTACTGACAAAAGTCACACTGTCAGGTCATACAGAGTTGATTATTTATTAATTTTTTGTTGAAGAAATAAGTACTGTTTTTGTTCTGGTGTATTGTTTTACAATAAAAAACTTCTTTCATATTTTATCGTTTCTTTTAATTTCTACCTTCCCCTTATTTATCCCAATCGCAAAACAACTCATTTTTTAAGTCTTAAAAAATGTTTTAAACATGTTTTAAATGTGTTTAAAACATGTTTAAAACATTTCAAATAAAACATTTATGAAAAATTGATTTAAAACGTGTTTTTTTTGTTTTTTGATTTAAACATGATGTTTTGTTCTTTTTAAAAAAAACTGTTTTTTTTCCAACCCTGCCCGGTGGAGACGACGCATTCGTGCTGCAATCATAATATACTCGTAGCTGCTGCATAGCTCTACTACATATAAAGTGTGTGCAGAAATAACATAGTTATTGGAGCCATGATATCTAACGAGAAGAGTTCCCTTAATATGGAATGGGAATGCCAAGATATTTAGCAATGTAACTGGCTACCTCCGGACATACCAGTGTTTCTTTTTCACTCATGCTAGCCTTACTTACATCAGAGACTGTAAAACCGTTGATAAACGGATGCCTGTAAAATGAACCATGTCCCTGTAAAAGCACTGTATACTGTCTGGATTTGGAATTTGTACAGTCGTATTAACAACTTGGAAATACGACCATATTTCAGGCAGGGCTTGTCAAGTCTGTGAATCATCCAGTGGGGTTAGTCTAGATAACTTTGGAAATGGTCATATATGTATAGTTTATTTATTAGTAATTACTACATAATAATGTATATATTATGTAGTTAATTATCGTTTGTTTTGTGCTCTTGTATTCTTTATTGCCACATCTACGTCAAATTCTCACCACTCCATGTGTTAACTGGTAGAGAATGCCTCAATTTTTATTTTTTAATTAAGTCCGCCCTTTGTATTTTTTTATTTTAAGGAATGCAATAAAGAATCAATAAATATAATATCTAAATGTTAGGTCACGTGATACTTAGATGACTTATGATTGATTTCGTTCATTTTTAGTTTTTTTATAGCAATAATGATGTACAATGTCAACTTGGCTAGCCCCGCAGTAACTATGTTAAATATTGAAGTGTTTACATATCATTGAAGGAGCATGTCCACAAGGAATATCATCATTAGCTAGTCAGCCGAGTTGTTACCTAAAATTTTTTGCCAATATCTCATCAGATAGGGCGTGAACATCACCTACTTGATTTTTTTTAGATGACGATGAAGAGGAGGCTTATGTGGACTTGAAAATAGACGAAGAAGGAAATATAAAGCCGAAAAAGCGACGTTCTACGGCAGTGACTGGATGGTTCCACGCAAAGGTGAAGACCGAAGGGAATGAAGCGGGCCAAATAGAACAAAAGGAAGAAAAGGATGTTAAAGATAAAGAGATTATTACGAAGATACAACTTAAGAGGGCCGCTAATATGGATAAGGTAATATGGGAAAAAGTTTCTTTGTGGCCGGGCTACCTTCAGTTTTTGAATATTACTAACTATGACATTGGGACGTCAAACATCTCGTTCCCCCCCCCCCCCCCGTGACCATGGGTGCTGTAAAGCGCCCGAAACGTCGGGATAATAAAAATAAATTAAAGTAATTAAACGCGATAAAATCCGTAAATAATAGTTTTATTCAATGTGTAGTGTTCGCGTAAATTTAAGAAATCACTCTGGTTGCATTATTTCTATTTGTATCTAGCTGGTTTTAATATCAATACATTTAGAAAAAGAAAAATAGAAGTAAAAGACACTCCCGCCATTTTTAAGCTATTGCATAGCTTCTATCGCGGGCCTTGAGCGCGGGGACCGAATCCAGAAATTCCGTAACGAAAAAAAACCTCACGCTCCCCACTCCGACGGGCACGGAGGTGTGGCGTTGAAAGCCGTGCATCGTCTAACGTCGTTTCAGTTCGGCAGACTTCGGCACTCGGCAGACTTCGGCACGGTGTTTGTGTGCGTGCGACTATACGTATGCGTGTACACTAGCTGCTAACTCAATGATAAAAATTCCTGAATAACCTACATGTATTGTAAGATATTAAAAATATTTTAAACAATATTAACTTCTCATTTATTCAATAAGAGAAAAAAAATTGTTTTCTTATCGGTCACCACGCTCAAAAAGTGTAACTTGATTTAATATCAAAGACTTAACTGCATAAATAAAATAAATAAATAATTATAATTGCATAAATTGATAAAAAATGCTATGCAATAGCTTTACCGCGGCAGTCACCGAGTGCCACACGTATTTTTTGTTTTTCTGTACATGAAAATGAGTGAATCTAATGAAGAAATTCTATACGTTCTGAAATTTTATTGTATAAAAGAAAAGTGCGATATATCCGCAAAAATAATTTGTGACGTTTATGGACCTAATGCAGTGTTAGCAAGAGTAGCACAAAGTTGATTCAAGCATTTTCAGTCTAGGAATTTTGATGTCAGCGATGCAGTTCGCTCTGGTTGCTCTCGTACTGATAAAGTCGATATTATTTTTTAAAAAGTAGAGCAAGATCGGCATATTAGTAGTTACAACATTGCCGAGGAATTGAGGACTGACCACAATACAGTTTTGACTAATTTAAAAAAGATTGTGGTTGCCAAAAAGACTGGCAAATGTGCCAATTATGTGGTGATCTATGGGGAGTGACTATGCCAGTGGAATCTGATAGGCTGTAATGGTAGTGGTGGTAATCTTAGTGCATTCATCATTTATCGAACATGTAGAGTTAGTACAATGTAGGACTAGTGCAAATAAACAGGTTGTGAGGCATTCTATTAAGATAAGGGTGGGCAATATTTATTTACAAATAAGGGTAACACAGGCCACCGTGTGTGTGTGTGTGTGTGTGTGTGTGTGTGTGTGTGTGTGTGTGTGTGTGTGTGCGTGTGCGCGTGCGCGTGTACGTGTGTGCGTGTGTGTGTGTGTTATGTGCGTGCGTGCATGTGTCTGTGTGTGTGCGTGCGTGGGAGCATACATGCATATGTTAGTGAAGATTTTTTTATAATCTGTCTGAATGTTCATATTGATATTTTCTCGGAACTACTTTCATTAACGATTTAATTACATAATAATTTTTGTACTTAATTATTCACCAAATGGCAAACTAATCTATTTTATTTATTTAATAATATTTCAGGTGATCTCAGAATACAACCCATACGCTCGTAATCCGACTTTCGCTGGAGCGGCTTGCTCAGCTTACTTCGAACTTTTACCCCTGTCAAGGCATTTTCATCCCACCGTCAAATTGTTTGCTGAAAAATTGCTTCGTGGTGAGTTTTGTATAACCTATAAATATATGCGTTAATATTTAATTCCCAGGGCATTAAATAATGAGATTTTACCCAGCTGCAGGATTTCTAAAATTTATTATGTTACTGTCATATTCTTTATAGAGTAATGGTGACAAACAATCACAGAATCCACCTGATAGTAAATGCATACTGTGGCTCATAGATATCTACATTTATCCTCAATTAAGTATACCCCTCTGAAGACTGAATTGGAATGCCTCGTAAAAAGGTCTCCGGTTCTCTACACTCACCATACGAAACACAGCAGCACTAAACTGCTATTTTACGCTCGTATTCTGTGAGATTGTGGTCTTACTCCTGTCGAGCCGACCCATTCATGCTACAACCATAATGTAGTTGTTGTTTTTTTTTTTAAAAAACTAGGCTATATCTCAAGGCTAGCCCCTTATAAATTTGAAAAAAGATTTCACCCCTGAGAGTTTAGAAAAAAATTGACAAAATTTTTTAATTTATTTATTACATTTAAGCTCGTGATAATCCTTAGTACACTCAAAGTAGGGTTAAGAAAAGCAAATAGTCAACTAAAACCAAAAATAATAAAATAATTTCCACATAATGGCTTCTGAAGTCTTAACTTTTCTATATACACTACCGTATCACCAACTTTAAAACCAAAATATACGTATTTTGCTTTATGGTTTTATTAATTATCAAATATTTGATAGTGCATCTAATCGGCACATACACCTGCGAAACAGGTTCATCCTTGTTCACCTATTATGTTGACTACTTGTGATCCAATCTGGCTTAGTGCAAATGATTTTTGGATCGCAACGGTGTCACCTATCAGGTCCGGACTGGACTCATTAAAACACAAACAAATTTCATAGGGTATGTTCCAAAAGAGAACCCAGTGTACTGTCCAATGCAAATGACGTCATGAATCGACGCCATTCATTACATAATTATATTGAAACAAATATATATATATTGAAAAAGTGTTGGCGATTATTTTGTCATTTTGTGCTCCAAACGTCATTATATCCTCCTAATGGAGATACCAGTAATTATTCTATAATTTTTTTGTATTTGAATAAATAAAAACAAATTCTGGCACGCCATTCATTCAGCACACACACAGTTAAAAATTGTTTTATTATGGCCGGATATCCGACACAATATGGCGACGGCACGCCAGTACAATACGGTGTCAATTGATGACGTCATTTGTATTCGGCAGTATACTGGAAACGTTTCGGAACATAGCCATGGAAATCGGTCCAGCTGTTTTAGAAGTTCAGTGACACACACGTAGGTACATAAGAATTATCTAAGTAAAGATTTTTAGATAAAAACTTTGTTTGGATGAATTGTACAGTTTATTTAAATAAAAATAAGTAAGTAATTTTTTTTATTTGAAGTTGTTTCTTACTTTTAATAAAACTTTAATTTTTCAAAGTCATAATTTGCTTGTTCGCAGAACAAATAATTCAGTACAGTGGTGATCCACTCAAGGATTTCGCCGGAATACGCTTCCTGGACCGTTTCGTTTTCAAGAATCCAAAGAAGCGTACAGAAGCGCAACAAGATGGCGACGTCAAGAAAGTCAAGGGATCGCATCCTAAATTTGCTATTAGAAAGAATTACTCTGCTAAAGGTTAGTAGAGCTAGACTTCGACAGTATTTGTTTATAGAATTAGGGTAATGAGCGTACAGTCCACCTGTAAGTGGATACTGTGGCCCATAGACATTCACATCTATCCATAGAAAATTGAAATGCAGATATGTTGTCACCCCTGAGGACTGAGATGGAATGCCTCATTTCCAGTAAAGAAGGTTTCTAGTTCTTTACACTCACCATAAGAAACACAGCAGCATAAAGCTGCTATTTCACGCTGGTATTGTGAGTGTGGTCCTTCCCGGGTCGAGCCGATCTATTTGTGCTGCAGTCATAAGATAGAAGCAGTATGACTCTACCACTTTTTTATTAACATACTATTAAACTAACATATATATTGAATAAAACTAAATTTACGGATTTTATCGCGTTTATATAACTGATTTTACTTATTTTTAATTCCCGACGTTTCGGGTGCTTTACAGCAACCATGGTCAAGGACAACTTGTTTTTTACAAAAAAATACAAATTTTTAATTTTTTGTGGGGGGTAAAAAATCACGTAAGCGAATTCCCACAAAAAAGTTCGTTTTGCGTAAATCGGACCAAAAATTAATATTAAAAAACTGAAGGTAGCCGGGCTAACAATGACATTGGAACGTCAAACATCTCAGACCCCTCCGTAACCATGGGTGCTGTAAAGCACCCGAAACGTTGTGAATAAAAAATAAGTTAAATCATTTAAATAAACGCGATAGGATCGGTAAATTTAGTTTTATTCAATGTGTAGTGTTCGCGTAAATTTAAGAAATCATTAACACAAATATTTCTTTCTTTCGTCTTTTTTATCAGCCTGTAAAAGTCTGCTATACACGTAGGACATAGACTTCTCTTATAGTAGGGATTATTTTTAAATTCTTTGATATAAACACGAAATTGGTATTACCACCACTTACTTATTGAAGGTCAACCACCACCTGTTGATGATAAATTAACATTCCCTCAAAAGTAAACTGCTGATCGTGTCCCCCCCCCCTCATAAATTACCTTAGCAGGGAATATTTGCCATAGTTGCCACACATTTATGTGGTAGAGCTATGCTACGGTTATATTGGTAGTATAATTGTAGCATGAATGGGTCAGCTTGACCGGGGAAGGATCACACTCTCACAGAATACCAGCGTCAAATAGTAGCTTAATGCTGCTGTGTTTAGTATGGTGAGTGTAGAGAACCGAATACCCTTTTACTGGAAACGAGGCATTCCACCTAAGTCCTCACGGATGACAACGCATCTGCATTTTGATTCGTAATCGAGGATAGATTTAGATGTCTATGGGCCGCAGCAACCACTTACCATCAGGTGGACTGTGTGCTCGTTTGTTACCCTATCCTATCAAAAAAAAAAAAAAAGTTGGCAGGCGGGTTGGCAACCACAACATAAGTTGAGTCACTTGCAACAATTTGCAGCTGTATAATATAAGTACAACATATAGTATGTCCATTCATTACAGCCTATGAAAGTGCACTGTAAACCACAGGCCTCATAAGTTGCCTTATAAGAGAGATTTTGCCATAGTTACTTTGTAACCGCAGTTTTTTATAATTTTGAGTTGTTATCAGGAAGATGCTGCTGCCCATCTCCTGTTTCAGGTTCTTTCCCTCTGTCGCCTCTTGTATTTTTTCAGTTGTTTCCCGGAGGATGCTTTTTTATCATATGTTAGGAAGATTTTTTTTATAGGATAGGGTGACAATCGAGCACACAGTCCACCTGATGGTAAGTGGTTGCTGCGGCACATAGACATCTACATCTATCCTCGATTACGAATCAAAATGCGGATGCGTTATCACCCGTGAAGACTAAGATGGAATGCCTCGTTTCCAGTAAAAATGGTCTCCGGTTCTCTAAACTCACCATACCAAACAGCAGCATTAATCTACTAATTTACGCTGGTTCTGTGAGAGCGTGGTCCTTCCCCGGTCGAGCCGACCCATTCGTGCTACAACTATACTTCTAATATAACTGCAGCATGGCTCTACCACATATAAAATTGATGAATTGGATGCTGCTGCCCATCTCCTGTTTCGTTTATCCCTGTTCCCCTTCCGACCACCACGGGATGATATGGGGTAGTGGGTACTCTTACCCCGTCACAACATGTCTTGGTCACTAAATGTCTAAGTAATTATTAAAATTTTAGGATTGAAGTCATTACCAGTTAACTCGTCGTCGTACTTGAACGAGGATGCCAAGAAAATACCCGTGGACGAGAAATTCCTTTATGAGTAAGTTCTTATAACTATTGTTTATAGTGAGTGAGTTAGGGGGGATATGATATCAAACGTTTTATTATATAAAACTCAGATATCTAATGTACAACATATAAAAAGAATGCTGAAAAATTGTATGTCAAGGCAAAACCTTGACATACATTTCAAATCAGATTAAATTCACAGCTTATACCATCAATCTGTTATTAATTAGTTGTTAGCAATATTTTAAAATTTTATGGTGATAAGCTCTACTCTGTGCGACTGTTTGACAACAGACTATTAAGTGTTTGACATTGGCCTTAGAGTAATAACCAACATAATATGCTCACAGACTTACTACAATTGTGATCATATGTGAGCAGCTAAAATTCAAAATGTGATTTGTCACTCAGATCAGATTGTTAGGAATCCAAAAAACTATATATTAATAAATTAAAATACTAATTATGACCTTTTTTATCTCTTTCTGGTAGTTTTTAGACATATTTCATTTTACAAATAAGTTTTAAATATTATACCATACAAAATTAGATTGTTTTTTTTTTTAAACAATTTGGACAAATCATGTTTTGAATGAATAGGTATATAGAAATCACGTTTTGCTTTATGACTCTATAGAAAAAAAAGTAAATCTACTCTTCTAGGTAACAATAAATAAATTAAAATATAATTTTTTTACGTGGTAGAACCACGCTGAACCTATATTATGGTTGTAGCACGAATGTTTCGGCTCGATCGGGGAAGGATCACGCTCTCACAGAATACCAGCGTAAAATAGCAGCCCAATACTGCGGTGTTTCGTATGGTGAGTGTAGAGATCCGGAGACCCTTTTTTACTGGAAACGAAGCATTCCATCTTAGTCCTCAGGGGCGACAATGTATCTGCGTTCTGATTCTTAATCGAGAATAAATGTCGATATCTATGGGCCACAGCATACACATACCATCAGGTGGACTGTGTGCTTGTTTGTCACTTTTACTCTATAAAAAACAAATATATATATATATATATATATATATATATATATATATATATATATATATATATATATATATATATATATATTTATAATTTTTTTAAGTATTCTTTATTAAAAAACTTAGTCAAATATGAATTGCAATTTTCTACTTCAGGCAACTGTCGTGACTTTTTTAGTTACAAGTAACCATAGAGAATACGATTAGTGCATAAAATATTTTTTCTTGTAAAGTGACAAATCACGTTTAGAATTTTAGCTCATGTATGTTATAGGTTTGCATATGCTTCAATTATGTGATTGAAATTAACAGTATGAACATAAACAATGTATTTTTTATATAAAGTTAAAGTTACAGCCTATATACGTCCCACTGCTGGGCACAGGCCTCCCCTCATTTCTGAGAGGGTTTTAGGGCAAGGAAATTTCCGCCGCATTGCCCAATGCGTGTTAGCGAACTTCAAATGTCTTCGATTTTTTTCTTATTTCTCAGACATTCAGGTTTACTCACGATGTTTTCCTTCACCGCCGAGCACGTGGTAAATCAGCACTTAAAATTGCAATTAACAATTTCATTGGTGCTGGCGGAGATCGAACCCGGTTTTTTCGCGTATTGTGAAATTTACAGCGAGCGCTAACCATCTGAGCTACCTTTACGGCTCTTTATATTTATTTTTTATACTTTATTATAAATTTGTCTTATCAAAAGACAAATTTATAATAAAGTCGTCAAACACTAATATATTATAAATAAAAAATGTACCTCAGCAAAATTAATCATAAAGAAATGGTTGGCACCATAATCATATGAGGAAACAGAACAATTGATAAAAACTGACTTTTGCTAATAGATGGTATTTGTGAAATTTTTAGGTGAATATTGTTATCTTTTAATTTTATTTTATTTTTCTTTTTAAATGTAAATACATATATAGTTAATACATTGCAGTTATATAAAACTTGGCCTGGTTGTTAAAGGTTTCTTTCTTTTTTTTATGTTTTTAGATTTTGAGCATTATGCAGTTTTTTTATTGCTATTTTGTGTAGGATGTATATTAAGACAGATTGTCTGATAAGATGTATAAAATAATGCCTTGTGAACTTTGGTCTCAGGTTTCCTCGATACAGGCTTGCCTAGTGAGGAAACCAACAGATATTACCTTTTGTACATATTTTTCTGTTAATAAAACATTTTTCATTTTCATTTTCATTTATATAATTTCATTTAATTATTTCACTGTCCCGTGAGTCATGTATACATTTTTAACTATTGTGTCTTTCGCGGATAAGGAAGTTGTTAATGTATAAATTTGTGACACATATATAAAAATTTTAGCTTTCAGCACTTATTATTATTTCCATAAAATCTTTACATGCGCACAATTTTCATAAAAAGCGGTACAAAGTTTACTCTTCACGATTCTTCCTCCTTTATTATATAGATTCGCAGACATTTTATAGACAATTCGCATATTATATATCAAAATCCATTTTAACCCATCATATAAAAGATAATACAGAACAATAATCTGTGTGTGGTCAAGTTCTCGCCAAAAAACCTGTCAAATATTTAATCATTTATCTTGTTTCAGTTTCCTACAGCAACGTCGCGAAGCAAAGGCTTCGGACGACGAGGACAGCGATGCAGATTCCGTAACCAGTGAGGACTTTGAGAAGTATCTGGACTCTGTCACAGGAAACAAGGGTCAAGGTAGGCGTAAATTGAACACAAGTATAATTACAATTACATGTCTACCGAGACTCGGGTGTTATCCAAAGCGGAACAAGTTTTAATGTTTTCTTATATTTACGCGAACACTACACATTGACATATATTCTGCATTTATGTTTATAATAGATTCCGATGAGGAACTGGACTACTTGGCGGAGATGGAAGCGGCGAAGCAAAAGCCAAGCGCGAAGAAGAAAGGTGATGATAGTGATGACCAATTGGATGAGGATGATGATGAAGATGTTGACGATGAAGGTGGAGGCGATTTGGACGATGATGAAATGGATGAAGGTGTGTGAACAGTACCGTAACTATACAAACATTGGGATATTATCCCTAAGTAGTTTTATCAAAATAATTTTTGTTGTACTATGCTTTTATTTTCAGTTGATGGGGAACTGAATATATCTGCTGATGAAGACGAACCGGCTCTATCTGGTGATGAAGACGGTGAGGGTAGTTACTGTCTTCTTATAGCAATTTTCGTCTTTTATCAAAACTCAAATTTTATTGATAAATAGCATTTAATAACTATTAAAATAGTTGTCTACTTACATTTTTATAGAATAACATTTGCAGACATCACCTAATGGTTAAAATTTAGACACATTGTCATCCCTGATGACTAAAATAGAATGGCTTGTTTCCAGTAAAAATGTTCCAAAATTCTCTACATTTACCGTATGAAACACAGAAACTGCTATTTTACGTTGGTAATCTCTGAGAGTGTGATCCTTCCCTGATTGTGCCGTGTTGCTGCAGCTATAATATAGCTACAGTGTGGCTTTACCAGGTTATAAAACAACTTATGCTATATATAATAATAATAATCATCTTTATTCAGGCAAATTACACCCATATCCAGTAAAATCAAAGAATTTAAAATCAGTCTCCAAAATTAAGCAATAAGTAAATCAATGTCAATACAAAATAACAATTTTAAAATAATAGATCTAGTCAATGTAAATAGGCAGTAATGTCAGTATATAAAATATATTGAAATAAAATTAAAATTAATACATAAATAATAGAATTACACACATTTATCAGTCTGGAGACGAGATCAATAATTAAAACTTTCTCTGAGGCAACTGTGCTGCAATAAATGAATTTAAAATCAATCCACAAGTATAGCAATACAATACATAAATCAATGTCAACAAAATAACAATTTTAAAATAATACATCCAGTCAATTTCAATAAGCAGTAATGTCATTATATAAAATAATGTAATCAAATGAAATAAAGTTAATACATAAATAACAGAATTGAAACACACTTTTATCAGTCAGGAGACGAGATCAATCTAAACTTTCTCAGAGGCAACTGTTCTGCGACATGTCTGTCGCAGCAATGCCGGATAATATAACAGTCTAACCTTCCCGAGATGATCGCCAAGACAGTGTTGGAGCTGGCCCGCACTCTGCGCACCAGGGACGCGGCCCGCTTGCGCATGGTGGCATTGAAGCAATCGGTGCCCGCATCCGCGAACATACCAGAGGCACTACAAAATCGAGGCAGCCCCATCACCGCCCTAAACGCATTATTGTATTGGACGCGGAGGACGCTGTAACTCTTCCTACTGTAATTAGCCCATAAGCTGCACGAGTAGAGCGATGTACAGAACGCTCGGAAGAGCGTTAACCTTAACCTCCTTTGAACACCGCGCAAACCTACGAGCAATCATGTTAGCTCTGACATACAGCGCCCTCCGTTCCCGATCCATATCAGCGTGATCCTTCAGGTCGACTGTGAGTAAATGCCCCAGATATTGAAACTGTTTAACCCTTTCCAGGGGTACACCATTTAATTTTATTTGAGGTATACTATCAGGACATTTCGTACCAGCGGCCTCAAAGACCATGTATTGACTCTTCCTGACATTATACAATAATCCGTGGCCACATGTATATTCCTCGCATATCCGTATCAGCTTCCTCAGGCCGCAGACCGACGCACTCAGCAGCACCATGTCGTCTGCATAACTCAGATTATTGACACAAACACCGTCAATGTGGCAGCCGACATGCTGTCTGCTAAGCGCTACGATCAGCTCGTTGATATAAAGATTAAATAGGGTTGGTGATGTTAAGCCACCCTGCCTGACTCCACACTCAAGCCGATACGGATCCGACATTACCCCCGCCCACCTGACACTATTGGCCTGGTTTGCGTACCAGTACTGGAGCATGCTGATAAGTTCTTGTGGCAAGCCTATGCTTTGCAGCTTGCCCCACAGCAGGTTATAGGCCACCAGGTCAAATGCCTTGGATAGGTCGAGGAAGCACGCGTACACGGGCGTTCTGCGATCAGTGTAGTATTTGACGGTTTGCTTTAGACACAATATGGCGCTTTCAGTGGATAACAAGAAAAACTGTAGTGTAGCATTACATGTTTATTCAACTGTGTATTAAGCAAACCGTCAAACACCTTTGCAATTACGATGGCAAGAGAAATAGGCCGATAGTTACACTTGTCAGTCAAGTCACCCGTTTTGTTCTTCACTATAGGTACCACCACGGTTTTCATAAAATCCGCGGGCAGGTAGGAATGGCTCACACATAGAGAGTAGAACATAGCCAAGACCCTAGCTAGGTGAGGTCCAGCATGTTGCAAGTGCTCAACACTAAGTCCATCATGTCCCGGGGACTTGCCTCCTGACTCCTATAACTTTTACTACGCTTTTAGCCAGGAAACTAGTCCCCACTGTTTGTGTGTCCAGGTTAGTGCTGAACCACTCCACTACCGGATCCAACAGTGACTTTACAGAAAAATGGCTCTTGAAAAGATTTGCAATATCCTTGGGATTGTTCATGCCATCGACGCACACAGGAAGGCCAGGCCGTATATTTATTTTACTGGTGGACTTCCAGAAGCCGCGAAAATCTCCTTTGCTATGTTTCACAGCAAGAGCGTCCATCTTTATTTGGTCTTGATGATTTTGGCACCATTTTAATCGGGACTTGAACACTCTTCTGCTATCACACATTTCTTTGTAAAGAAAACCTGACCTGGGTCTACCACACAATACCCAGTCATTAAATTTAGATCTGGCCTCTCTGTGAGCCTCACTGACGTGTTTGTTCCACCCAGCTATGCGCGGGCCACCCCCGTCCCTCCTCGCGCCTTCCCGACTCGCCAAAGTCGCCGCGCCTTGGAGAGCGGTCACAATGTCAGAGTGAAGCTTATCCAGAACATACCTGTGGCCACGGTCATTACAAAATCGGTCAGCACTGTTTGCACACTCCGAAGGAAAGTGTACCAATTTTAGCCTATTATGACACTCTTTAGCATACACTGTGATTTGTTCCGCACTCTTTACACCCCATACTACGTCTTTGTTAAAATTGATTATGCTCGCAGAGATCTTAGGGTTTATTAAATTTAAATTACACTTAATTATAAGTGGGAAATGGTCTGACCAAAGAGTGTCATACTTGACATCTACCCCGACGACAGCCTGCTTCGCCGCGAGAGTTGTGACACAGTGATCCAGCCAACTGCTGGTCCCGTGGACGTCACTAATAAAAGTAAAAGTACCAGATTCCATCCCTAGCATATCTACATCTATACATGACCGTAATTGGTCATTACAAATACTAACAAGTTCACTGTAAAACAACTCACCCGGGTCCGCATTGAAGTCGCCTAAGATAAACACAGATTCAATTATATATTCGTCAATAATAGCGCTTACCGCACTCAAACAGTCTGTAAATTCCTGTAAATTGTCGACAGAGTTTGTCGGCAAGTATACACTCATCACAATTACGGGTCTATCATTTGTTATAATTTTAACTGTACAAATACGTGAATTTTCACAATTTAACACTGTCACCTGCTGGAACGCGCTATATCGCCATAACAACGCGACGCCGCCATAGGGGCGCCCACGCTGGATGCCAGCAGACGTATCGACTGCTGATGTCGCCACATAACCAAAACCGCTATCGATCGTGCCAATAAAGGGTATATCATGATTCATAATCCAAGTTTCCTGAAGACATATCACGTCACACGTATGACATAAGTCTCTGACGTCATTGATGGAGCGTTTCACATTCTTACAGTTAAATGTAGCAAATCGATAGGGGCGACTATCCATTATTTGGTTTGACTATGCCGTCAGTGCCAATAGGTCGCGCACCGTTCTTATTGCTGTGTTTGAAACTCACAAAACGTCGAAATATGACACCTTCAGGCCATAGAGTTTCATCCATATATTTTGGCAGATTGACCTCCGATATTGAAAATTTGTAAGCTTTGTGCCCTCTATCATATTTCATATTTATTCTTTCTAGTGACACGGTTTCCTGAGTTTTATTATAAATATGTTTTATTATGTCGCTTTCCGTTGCAGAGTTATGCACATTCGTAATAAACATAATAAGTTTCTTATCTGCTGCCCGGAATGAGCACTGTAAATCTCTGGCTACACCAGCTTTGCCGACATAACGATACTTTCTTGGTTTTTTGTGATACGTTACTGTCTGCCATCCTTCCTTTTTATTATTTTCATTTGTCAGAGTTTCACGCACGATGATCGGCTGCTCTGATTGACTATGTCCTTTTACGCACACAAAACCTTCCTTATCAGTAGCGGTCAGCTGGTTCACAACCTCAGTAGCAGAGCTCGGTAAGTCTGACGTCACCGTAACACTCGCGCTTGCCTTCCGACACAGCTGCGGCAGCGACGGCGAGCACTCAGGCCCCGCATTACAGCTGACGCCCGTTTGTTTATCTTGCGTTACCCTCACATCTCTAAGCTCTGACATGGGAGAATGGGAGATATTAAACCCGTAGTATCATTTATGTTGTTTACTGTATAATCATGTGAAAGACCCATAGGGCCACTGTCTAGAAAAGCACCTGTTTTACTATTGATTTTAAACGCCGACGCCGGTGGCGGCAGTGGGTCGTGTAAGCGAAATTGAGACTTAAGTTTGTCAACGCATCTTGGGAATACGTAGACTTTATTTCTTCAATTTCAGCTTTCAAAGTTAACATGTCCTTTAATAATTTGGAACAGTCTAAGTGATCTATCAAAATCGGCGGCAGTTTGTCAAGCTGCCACATAAATTGGAATAATATCGGGTTCCGTAGATTTAAATAGATTTATAATGTCCACTACATCGCGCTCCTCTTTACCTTTGTTTTTTCGCAGCATTTTTCTGATACCCTGTTTCTTCTTTTATTTTTCTGATATGTCTGTATGTGAAATAGCATATGATATATATGTTATAGGACTTTTTACTCGGCCTAGAAGTTTGTATGGGAAGGTAACATTACTACCAATAACCTATAATTCTTCAGCTCGGAACACAGCATTTCTAATTGGCTAAATATTGGCAGAAGTAGGTATACCTACATAGAAGAAGAGAAAATGCGTCGTACCACTTAGTAAATACCTGATTTTTGCGAGGTTGAACTACTCTGCTGTAATAACTGCTGACATTCTAATCCTTGCTTTTTAAACTCAGCTCCGATCAGCGGGTCTATTAGAAAATCACATCGATTGTAATGAAACTCTATGAAGCTGCGTTCGTAACGGTAGCTTGCAAATTCGAAAAACAGCGGATGTATCTGTAAGGAAAAGGAACACAGTGGTAAAATAGCACGTGATGTGAAATAGTCTTGCGTAATCAATAGATCGGTTCAATTTAGTAATGGCTGGGAGTGCTCACAGAATAGGAGCACAAAATAGCAGCATGATGCTGATGTGTTTTATATGGTGAGCAGAGAACCGGAAACCTTTTTCCGATAATGAGGCATTCCATCTCAGTCCTCAGGGGTGACAGCGCATCTGCATTTTGACTTTATTTGATTTTAACGAGGATAAATGTAGATGACTATGCGCTACAGCATCTACTTACTATCAGGTGGACTGAGTGCTTGTTTATTTGTCTTAATGTATTAAGAATATTTCTATTATTGACTTTCGACCAATTGTTTCAGAGCTACTTCTACAAGGTAGCGATGAAGAAGATCAAATAGATGTTCCTGGCAAGAAATCTGGAAAGGGCAAGTTAAAAATGAAACTCAAAGGTAATAAATCGAAATGAAATATCTTTATTTCTTCACAGTAAGAACTTTAAATCGTTTTTAGTTGTGGAATTTTCGTTGACGGTTCCTCTGGCTCGTGTAAAATATCCAATGGGGAAAAGTAAAAAAAGTAAGAACCCAAAAGATAGGTAAGGTTTTGCTGTTATAGCACACACATTAGTTCGTGAAAGTGTAAAGTTGGATATGGGCCTTATTTTTATTGAGTTTGCTTGTTAGCATGCGGCTTACCTGATGGTGACCACTGACTGTAAAAAACCGCAACACCAGTAAATCGCAAGTAGGCTCTTTGCTTAAATGGCCTGTCCCATTGTGGGAACATTTTGCCATAACATTCACACTTGGCAGGTGGACTTATAATTGACACAGCACCAGACTTGCTTGTGCTTGATCTGAGTATTTTAAGCTTGGCGTAAAAGAGATGGATATACTATTAGGCTTTAAACTCTTTTCTTGAATAGCTTTCCCAAAATTTTGCCATAATAGTAACCGTTGGCAGGTGGACTGACGGTTAAAGCATCAGACTGGTCTGGTCTGGGCATTTTAACTCTGGCGTGAAAGATTGAGAGATGCAGTGTAGAAGATACTTAGTGTTATCTAAAATACATGTTACACACACCATTATGGTGTGTGCAATATGTATTTATACTTTTATGGTATTCTCCAAATATTATAGGTTTTAATTGGCTATGTTATAAATATTTACGTCAACTTATCCTTTCATTGGAAAAAAGGTCATCCAAGCAATTTCATAAAGTATGAAATTAATTAAAGCTATTGCATCATAAATATAGAATAAACAACATTCACAGCGGTTGTGATTATATATTTTTTATTATTTTTTTTTTTATAGGATAGGGTGACAAACGAGCACACAGTCCACCTGATGGTAAGTGGTTGCTGTGGCCCATAGACATCTACATCTATCCTCGATTACGAATCAAAATGCAGATGCGTTGTCACCCGTGAGGACTAAGATGGAATGCCTCGTTTCCAGTAAAAAGGGTCTCCAGTTCTCTGCACTCACCATACGAAATACAGCAGCATTAAGCTACTATTTCACGCTGGTATTCTGTGAGAGCGTGGTCCTTCCCCGGTCGAGCCGACCCATTCGTGCTACAACTATACTACTAATACAACTGCAGCATGGCTCTACCACGTAAGAAATTATTGCTTCTGTTCATTAGGCAAAGAAGATTTAGGATCACTGTTTGCGTCAGCTGAGGAGTTCTCTACTCTGCTGGAAGACACTGCAACGAACAAGTATCAGGGCTCGAGCCAGGCTGTCTCCAATGCCGACAATGCTAGTAAGAAACAGTTGGCTTGGGAAGAAAAACGTGACCGATGGATCAAGGGATACAACAGAAAAATTGTTGGAAACAAAAAAGCAGGCAAAACTAAAAAATTCAGTAGTAAACAGAATGACAGAGCTAATTTCGGTAAAATGGCTGCCAAGAAGAAAGGCGGGAAACGAAAAGGCGGAAACGTAGACTGCGCTGGTGGCAAGAGGAAGAAGGTCAAATAAGTTCTTGTGAATAAAAACATTGTTTATTGTTAGTTTGTTTGATTTATAAACATTAATCCCTTAATATATTTGGGTTTATAAGTAAACAATTTTAAAAACAAAAAACAGTTGAGTCCAAAAAAGTTCAAGTCATACTTAATAATAAAAAACTTGTTATGATAACACTATACCAATTAATACATAAAGACTAGGAAAATTTCAAAACTTCCTAGTAGCATGAATTAAATGTCAAGGGGTTTTTAATTAATATTATAGAGAAAAAACAAATCACCTTTGAAGTCATATTGCATATTTCTAAGTAAGGAATGCGAAGTATCCTAAGTTTCTAAGGCATTAATAGTAATAATCTTTAAATATGTACTTATATCAGTTTCTATAGGTAACCTATTCTTCGTATCTCAAGGGCACTACATAACTAAACATGTGTTTATTGTTATGACCTTGACATATTTGCATCATAAAACATGGCGCTGATCGCTATGAATATTTAAAAAACTTAAGTACAGTGAGACTTAAATTCTTACTACTTTTGTGTGATTACTTCGCTATAATAGTTAATCAAATGCAATCACAATATTATAAAACATATTGAGATGATCCTTCAGATACTAAACCATTTAACTTTATACATGATTCCCGCCTTTAACATGGTAAATATAAATGAAAACTGAATAGTGTAATATGGAAACCTATTCTAGAAAATAATATCTAAGAATTTTTTGTAAGAGACATTAAGGTATCCGTATTATTATCCTCGAGAGCCACTCAACGGGCACAAAATGATCGGAATCGGAACTATTTGTTGACATTAGTACGTCATACAGTTGTGTTAAAGACAGCGCTACGGTATCGTATCTCGTGTTATTAAATTAAAATCACTGAATTTACATAAGAGCTACATGTAATACCTGTACAGTGAAATCAGTAAAGTGTAACATTGACGCTAAGTGTATTTACGGGTGGTACTGTTATTGTGGATAAATAAAAAGAGCGGGGAAAATCAGTGCAAATGACGACTGTTTAGCTATTTTTAGCCATACCTATGTCGCGATAACGAAGTTTCTTAGATTTTCAGTGTGTTAATGAATATAAAATCTAATTAGATTTTGGTAAAATATATTGTTCATGCTTACGTTTAAAAAGACTATAAACTTAATAATAGAAAAACGAAGGCGCTGAAACGAGTTTGACAGTTCACAGATACACACATAAACACAGCCGGCACTGCGCATGTTTGCGTGAAACGTGAATACAACGAAGTGATGTGAAATTCTTGCGCTTATCGATTATTGATAATTTCAAGGACATAATACGTCTTGTCTTATTTTAGATTTTTAGTTATATATATGCATATCGAATGACTTTTTATATATTGAATTTTTTTTTATTGTTTTCTAATCATTAAATTTTAAACCATGGAATCGTTAACTCCACAAACTCATATGTATGATACGGAGTCGGTTGTTCAACCAATATCAAATTATGAGCAGACTGTATTATCTGGAACCTTGGATAATCCAGATTTATTCCCTATGAGTCTCGATCATGTCCCACCAATTGGCGAAAATGTTATCATAAATAGCAGTGACAATATATCGGTGGACAGCGCAAATATAACACGAACACAGCCACATAAACCGAATACACCAGAAATACAAATGCCGGAAACTCCACAGACTCCAGGACCAAAAGTAATAGAAACCCCCAAATTAACGGGAGAACTTGTCGAAAAAGTGAAAATTCGGAATGTTCTAAAACTACCTCTAATAAAGCACAACGATGATATTTTCGTTAAGCCTTCTCCTCTAGTCGAGATAATGTCGCCTGCTAAAATGCTTCAATTTGAAATTGATATCACAACAAGTTCCACTCCGACTATGAAGCGCGCCGCCGTTGATTTTAATTTCTTCAATGAACACAATTTTGAGGAATATTTTATTGATGTACCTAAAGACGCTAATATTTCTAATACTCAGACCGAAGGAGAAGCTTTCATAGAAACTCCAGTCATCGTTAAAGCTAGTACAGTTAGACATGAAATTGGTTACGGTAAGTATGATTAAATTTTGTAGAAATAATTTTATTTCTTTTAACCTGGCTTGAAAACTCCTTCAAAAAAGGCGCTTTATCTGGACTTCATATGCCATTAAAATATACTAAATATCTTGTCAACATGTATTAGCTTTGATAATTTTTTGTGAATTTATTATCTGTGCTCGATAAAGGATGAATCACGTTAGACCGTGTCGCGACCGGGCCGGAAACGGTCAAACATCTTAGCATACGTTTTGTATGAAGTGATTAATGCTTGACCGTGGCCCGGCCGTGCGCCCCTAGAGCCCGGCTGGAGCAAGGCGTCGAAATGTCGATGGGCACTATTTCCCGGCTCCGGCTCGGCCTGGCCCCCACACGTTGTAACATGAACGTGTACGCCGGGCGCCCGCAGGACAGTCGACGACAAATCTTTGAGATGTGAGCAGCCCAATATCAAAATGGACGATGAAAAGGTTGCTAGAATATGTGTGCAAATAGCCTGTAGTTTACGCCGAACCAAAAGTTTACTTCATTTTGTTAAGAGTTAGAACTAAAGTTCGCTGCAGCGCTAAAAGAATAGTTAGTCGTCTAACCAAACTATTAAAAAATGCAGCGCTAGTTTGCATTGGGGGTTAGTTTTCTCCCGATCAAAACGTCATAAGCGCCAGGGATTTCATGGCGCTTACTCGTATCGTTCAAAGTAATGTACAAGTCGCTCCTATAGATTTTACAATGCAGAAGTGACACCACTTTTGTAACCTACTACAAAATAATACTCTGTCTTGTCATTAAATAAATAAAAGAAGTGAAATAAAAGTCTCGTTTCAATTTAATATCAACTTTATTTATTACACATTCGAAATAATTCAACACAAATTAATATTTAATTGCCTTGAAACAATATAAGTTTAGTGAGTTTTTGTCGTTTGCGTAATAATTTGTTATCTTTATTTGTTTTTTGGTGCAATCGAACAGTTGTATATTAGTTTATTATTGCACGTATTAGATGCACTCTGATTTAATGTAGAATGTTGATCAAATGAATGACCAAGTAAACAAACGACGACGTCTTTCTCAACAAAACACTTCAATGCATTAGTTGTAATGTAGTTGTATTCGTATTGAGACGACATGCCATTCTCGCCACTGGACCGAATTAAACGACTTATAACAATAGGCACAAATGTATGTTGCGTATCTGCGTCTTTTGTTTTTATTACTCTATGATTAGTACTGCAAAATGGCGGCGGTCGACAGCCCGATTCTCGGAGCATTGTAACAACGTAAAAAACTTTAAATCAAAGAGTTTTAAACGTTTTAATGTCTACTTATCGATGAAACGTTAAACCATCACTTTTTTTGATATTCTGGAGTGTTTACTGCAGCCTTTAAGAACACAACTAGGCATTTTGAAGTTGTAAAGTATTTATGCCAAGCGAACACGACTCGTCTGCGGGCGTTGGACACTCACTAAACAGTTTAAACAGTTGCGTGTACAGTGTACCGCAATGCGTAGCGCAAAATCGTGCAAGGCGATGTCCTCTCTATACGTAGTAGTAATACCTCAATGAGTTTACGACATGACCCATCCTAAGTATTTGGATAATAAATATAAAAATGTTATTAGGAAAACAATACCAATTCATGTCGTGAAAACTGCATATTTAACTCAAGCGTCACGTCTATCGACTGATGAAATCACTAGTAGACACAAAACACCTATCACAGGACACGGCCGTGCAAAGAATACACGCAAATTATCGTCCGATGTAGCATGAATGACTGGACCGGCCGGCGCACGGTTGACATGCCCCGGGTGGAGCACGGCCCGGTCGCGACACGGTGTAACGTGAATCATGCTTAAGTTCATTTAACTTTATTAATACATATGATTAAATTATTCCACTATGTAATTTAGGCCTCTACTATATGGCCAAAGAATACATTTAAACGGTCCTATACAGCGATATGGTTCAGGACTTTATTTGTACCATTGTAATTTCTTGTTAATATTATACCAAAAACGTAATTTAAAGGTTTCAAGTAAGTTTTTTTAAAGACTGTGATCAGTACAACCCAAAATGCGTTAATGTAGCACATTATTGCATATAAACGTAGGCAATACACGTTGCACATAATTTTTCATTGATGAAAAACAGAAGAAATAAAATCCATTTAACAAGACACCTTAAATATTTTGTTAACTATTCCTTATACAGATATAACGACCAAAAATTTCTTCAATATGAACAACCGAATTCTGAATACAGTCGGAGAGGCAACGATAGAATCAGATATGATAATATCAGTTATCCTTTATTTTGGGATTCTTAAATCACCTTTTAGCCGACTCTAAAAATAGGAGGATCTCAATTCCACTGATTTTGTATGTATGTTACGCAATATCTTCATCAATAGTGAACTAATTTTGATGGTTTCTTTATTAAATAAAAACCATACCTAAGGGTGGTAAATTAGGTAATGAAGTTTTTATGATAACGACGAGGCGGCATTGAGATTTAGATATTACTTAAAAGTTCGCGTACTTAAAAGAGTTAAAAAATAATTTTTAATAAAAGGTGAACTTCGTGAAAGACGACTTCAAAGAACAAAAAAGTATAAATAATTTCCACAAAGCAACTTCTAAGGTCAGGCTTCTAAGGTGATTTTTTCGTGTGCTTTTAACAAGTAATCGAAATTTATTCGAAGTAAATCAGTTACAAATCGAATCTCGAATACCGCTATTATTATTTGACATACAAAAAGGAATATATAAAATAATTTATTTGTTATCAAATAATAATATTACACTTTTAGTAGTCTCTTGAACTTACCTGTCATTTATATGTTAAGTACTGTAATCTAAAAATCTAAGATTATGACTATTATCATGGCAACCCTTTTGTTGTACGTAACATATTTTACGGGGAATTACCTCATTTTGTATAAGAAATGGCGTCCAAGAAATCTCGCTTAGACAATGAAAAGCGGGATGTCGTTTCAGAAACTCATGCACTATTTTGGGCATGTTTGGAAGAATATAAATCTACGAGAACAGAGCAGCCTAATAAAGAGCAACCCAATAATGCCATTGCTGATGAAATTGCCAACTATATCAGGTTAGCAAGGGCTGACACAAGTATAAACCCATATGAATGGTGATCTTTGAGTACCAATGAGAATCGATTCCCAATTTTAAGTAACCTTGCTAAACTATACTAAGTAACACCAGCAAGCTCTGTTTATCCAGAAAGATTATTTACTGAGGCAGGATTGGTTTACGAAAAAAGCGCAATCGACTCGATCCCAGTCGTACAGAAAAATTAGTTTTTCTGCACAACACAATCTACCTCTTTTAAACTTTGAATTTTAATTAAAAAGCCTTATTAACTTCAACATGACTGATTTTTGCAAAATTTTCTATTTTTAATGATGATTATATATTAATACTAAGTTTATTTTGTTTAAAACATAAATACAAGTAATTATTTTGTCTATCTATAGTTTTTTCTGTCCATTTAATATAAGTTTATTTTATTCAGACAACTATTCGCCGAATATCGAATAATGAACACTATTACTCGCTATTCGACGAATAACAAAGAAATGCCGAGTAATGCCTAATAATAGCGAGTATTCTCCGCATCTCTAATTATTACATCCAAAGTGGGTAAATGAAACTGATGTTATGGAAAGACACATAGAATTAACGCCCAGGGCGGTCTGCTCTCCTACAGATTGAGATCCATGCTCGACTCAATTAAGGAATCACCGGTCTTATGCATTATCTTAGATATCATGCGTCCACTACACACTTTTGATAAAAATTGTATAGTGGAATTACCCTCCAGAGAAGACTGGCTGAACGGCCAAGTTATATGTGAGGTCGGTAGCCTCATATGGTATACCGATGGGTCTAAAATGGGCCTCGACGTAGGCTTTGGAATTTACGGGGAACGCCCCAAATTCAAACTTAGCATGAAATGGGTAGATACACCTCTATCTTCCAGGCAGAAATTTTCACCATACTTTGGTGTGCGGAAATCAATCTGCAAAAACACTACGTCAACCATATAATTTACATAAACTCTGATAGTCAAGCAGCACTGCTAGCGCTGAGGTCAAACTTGGTGAACTCGAAGCTAGTTGGAGACTGCGTGAACCGTTTAAACGCCCTGGGATGTAACAACAGGGTCGTTTTAAGATGGGTTCCGGGTCACGAGGGTATTGCAGGCAACGAATTTGCCGACAAACTTGCGCGGGAGGGCTCAAAGTGCACACAATTTGGACCTGAGCCATTTTGTGGAATCTCAAAAAGCGTAGCCCGATTGACCCTTGAAACTCTTTATCACCATAAATCACTTAAGATCTGGTCTGAAACACTAGGCTTAAAACATTCTAAAACCTTAATCCGGCACTTTAATCGTAAATTCGCCTCAGAAGCCCTGTGATTAAGTAAAAATAAATTGCGCATTCTGCCAAGAGTCCTAACTGCACTCTGTTGTCTTAAAAAGCACATGTCCATCCTGGGATTAAGCAACTCAAGGATGTGTCGGTTCTTTTCCATAACGGAAGAAACGCCTCTGCACATCCTAACTGATTGCGGACCCTTAATGCGCAAACGTAACACTCATTTGGGAAACTATCTACTCCGCCCAGAAGAAGTGAAATTGCTCACGGCTAAGCAATTCCTTCTATTCATTGAAGACATAGGGCTTAGCCGTGAACTAGAGCCATAGCAGCGATCACAATAGGTTTTTTGAATATGTATTTTACGTAAAATTTAAATATTAAAAGACAGGTATTATATTTATAGTTCTGTGTTATATTAAGTACATTTTTTTCTTTGCACTCGTATATGGTCCTTGGTGACTTTGTAAAATCACAATTAAATAATGTTTTTTGGGCAATTTGTATAGCTTCCAGATTTATCTTTGCAGCAAGATCCCAAAACTCAATTATGTAATCTAAATGTGGCGTAATAAGTGCATCATATATAATTGTATCGAAGACAACCCGTAATACTTCG